TGGGTATTGAGCCCCGAGACCACACTCTCCTCTTGCAATCCCATAGTCACTTGCAGTCTAAAGGTCCGAATGGCATTTCCTCTTTCAGGAAAGTTCCTCCCTGAATTTAAAATAGTTAATGTTGCACATTGAGTCTCTCTAAGGGAGGGAGAGAGACTGTTTATTTATTACATGATACAGAAGATTTATTGGAGACCAGAGGGCTCAACGGAAGACATTCTTGATTTATTTCCAGTTGGAAAGGCTTGTTTGAGAGATGCAATCGGCCTTTTAATATTAGTCTCTTGAGTCACAGCAGATCTGAATCACAGAGGTCTCTGTTTCTCAGGAGAGACGCACAAACCCCTACCTCTCTGAAGGGGTTTGCAGCATGACTAGGGCCATAACCATGGACACTGAAACCCTATTCAGTGGTGTGTGGTCCATGGTTACTCCTCCCTCAGCCTTTCTCTAACTTTACTTAAGCCTTGGGAATACTCCCAGCTCTGCATTGGGGAGGTCAGAGGTCATAAAAACTTAACATGAATGAGGCTTAGGAGGATGTGCCGAGTGGTTAAGCCTCTGAACTCTGTGTTCCATTGAATCCTCATTCCACCAATGCCAATGATATGGCCCTAGGTATGTTTTCACCCCCCTCTGCACCTCAGTTTCCCTATCTGGACAGTGCGGATTATATAATGTGACCTACTTTGAGCTCATGCCTGTGACATGCTTAAAAATATGTCTGACTTCCTGTGCTCTGCTCTCAACGACACAATGCAATATGTAGTCACTGCCATTATTGCTGCTGGTAGTAACAATACCCTTTCGAGTAATAATTGGGGTTTGCTGGAATGTTAGGGAGGCCTGTTGGGAAGCCCTCTTGAGTTATCAGGACCCAATGATACAAAACCCTGAAGGCTTGGTCCCTTTGGAGGCAAGCAGACCCAGAGGGGAAGGACAATGAATGTTCCTGGGGATAAGGGAGTGGACAAGAAGTTCTGGCACCATCTTTGCGATGCCTGGATGGCTAACTGCCACTAGGGTCAGGAGTTGCACCTGTATCCTGAGATTAAGGTGGATGGAAGTTGGAGAACTTTCACTTTGCATAGAATTTCTTCATTCGTTGGGCAACCCTTTGCTGCTACTTCCTCTGCTGGGCCCTTGAAAGCTTCTAGGAAGCTGAAGATTGATGTTATCTATTTCTTCCCGTCTGGGCTGACACAGGACACACACCACACACTCACTTTGAGACACTCAGAGACTCTCACGCGATGCATTGTGTGTGGTCTATTCAGTCACCTGGGTGGCTATACGTGGAACTTGGAAGGGGAGGTTGGGGGGGTATTCAAAAGCCTCAGCCTGAGTTGGCTCCTTTTGCATTTGCATATTCTGTGTGCCAGGTGGCAAACTAGAATTAATTTTAATCAGATAGAAACTTCCAGTCAGCTCCAAACCAAGCTTTATTTTTAACCTGAGAGCGACAGTCACCGCCTGGCTAGGCACTGACAGGCCGCTGGCCTCTCTAGGCATCTACTAAAGTCTCCCCATCAGCCTCACATCCAAAAAGCTGATCGGGAGGCTCTGTGTTTCCTCTGTATGTCCCACGAGGAGCGCTCCTGGAAGGGCTGTCTCCCAGAGTGACAGGTTCCTTTTGCTAAGATTGGCCAACCAAAGTCAAAGCTGAATCTCAGTAAAATTGAATAGTATTTCAAAAGGGCGTTGAGCATTTCTGAACTCCGAGTTCCCTTGTTCATCAGCCAGTGTTGCAAGAGCGGCTTAGGAGGAACACTGTTAGACCCCAAAAGGAATTAACTGCACAGGAACACATTGTCTTCATTTCACCTAGTTCTGATACTGGTGATACCAGCACAAGAAAAGCAGTTGATATTGGCTTACGTATTTCAAAGCTGTTTCTGTTACAGCTGTTTCTGTTATATACCCTGATATAAAATGGGGGTGCCTGACTGTGTGTCCTCACCTGTGTGCTTAAAGGGGACTCATTAATGCTAAACTGCAGACATACACAAAAAGGTTGATGAAAGGCTTATTTACAAGGGAAGGGGAAAATGAATAACTCAGAGAAAAAGAGGGAGATAAGTTCGTAAATGCGTCCTACCCGTTCTGCTGACCTGGAATCCCAATGATCCGGCGAGCTGGCAAAAAACCTAGCATGCCTTGTGGCCAAGCCCCACATGCACACACATGGCCGGTTAAATACTCAAAACGAGAGCCTAGTTGCTTTACTCCACTCAGGTCCTTGCAACCTTCCCTTTAGTGATCCTGGGATTTGTAATTCCCAGTGGTGTGGGGGTGGAGTCCACAAAGCCTCTATGGAGTTTGCTCAGGACATCCTTTCCTCCTAACATTTCTTCTCCTGTGACTTTTTAGAGTCAAGAGATTTCATGCTGGACTTGAACAGTTCTCTTACCGTCTCATTTTACGTTTATCACACACTTTTTTTCTAGTGGTTGGAACCCACTTCCGCTGAGAAAGATGAAAGCAGCTGCTGCCCATACTATTCAGTAAAACTGACCCTGTCTTTGTCTTCATTCAGTAGTTGTTTAGGTGCGCCTCTCCCCTTTAGAGTGAAGCCTGGCTCTAAAGTTATGGAAGGATTGTGGGGCACACAGCCAAGGGGTTTGGAGCATGAGTTTGGGTGTGAGACAACCTGAGATGAAATACCTGCTTTGCCACTTAATAACTGGGTGACTTTGGGAAGTCGTTCAATTTTTCTGAGCTTTAGTTTTTTCACCTAGAAATATATACATACTTACATAAAACTTACCTCTCAAGGTTCTTGGCAGATAAGGCAACATAGAATCCCAAAAGTTAGCAACAGCCCTCCCTCCCTCCATTGTTATCAGCTCAGAAATGTAAATCAAAGCATCAGGGATTCTGGAAGGAGACCACAGCTCCAGGCTCACTGCCTCTGGCAATCCCTTCCTCTGTGTCTTGACTTTCTCACTGTAAATAAGCAGCATCTTTTTGGATACCTCTGGAGCTGCCCAAGTGAGGGAGAGTCTGGGTTAAAACCAGTTTTGTCTGGGGCCTCCCTGGTGGCACAGGGATTAAACTCTTAACACTATCAAGTGCTGGTTGCATGAGTTTGATCCCAGGGAGCTACCCCACATAGCATAACAGACCTCTCCAGTCTCACCTGCTGCTCCCCTCAGCAGTATATTTCAGTGGATCTGCCTGTTCTGCTCCCCATTTTGTCTCTGGTGAATCCTCTCACCCCCTGCACCTCTGGCCTATACCCCAGTTCTTGTATGCATAAATAAGTAAAAATAAATCTGAAAAAAAAAAAGTTCTGTCTGCATCCAGACTTGGCTCATAACTTCATAACTTACAGCATGGGTCTGCGCCTGGCACTTGGGTCCCTGTGTGCCCAAGGCAGCCAGAGTAAATGTCAGTTTACTTCCTGTGATGGCTGTTTCTGAGGCTCAAGGAAGCACTAGGGAGGATTCATGCTTCAGCAGTACAGTTCCAATGACTTAACCTTTCTGAGTTGGAATTTACTCAAGTGCAACCTGGGGATAATACAGTCCCAGAAGAGTAATAAGTTTTCAGTTGAGATTGCTACATAGGACCAGGTAGAACAAGATAATTTTTCAGCCGCTTATTGAGATTTCAGATTAATGTCTGCAAATCCCACTGAAGTGTTTACATGAAACCATTCTGTAACCAGTTGCTAGCAGTTATGTTACAGGACAGGGAGAGTTAGACCATTAACTTGGGGGTACAAACAAGTCAATATGGTAAAAGTATGCTCTAGAGGGAATTTCAAGGAGTTATTTATTCATTCAGCGAGACTGCAAGCACCTATTCTTTTTCAGTCACTGTGCAAGTGCTGGAGAAACATCTGGGAACAAACAGAACTTACATCACAGAAAAGGAGATGGAGAATAACTGAATGTACAAATAAATCAATAAGTTGCTGTGAAAACCCAAAAGCAGGTTGAGATGAGGAAGAGGGTTGGACAAGAGTGTTCAGATAAAGACCCCATTATGAGGTGATATGAAGTTGAAAGGCATGAATGTGAGGATCTAAGGACAGAACATTCCAGAGAGAGGAGAAGACAGATATAAATGTTCCAAGGTGGGAAAGAACTCAGAATATACAAAGGAATTAAAAGAGAGCTTTGTTCCTGGAGCAGTATAAGCTACTTAAAGTTTAGAGAAGGAGACAGGAGCCAGATCAGGTAGGTCTTATCTGCCATGATAAGGAAATTTATTCTGGGTGCAACTAGAAACCCTGGAAGTTACAAGAGGGGAGAAACATCACATGATTGCAGGAAAATGCTCACAATATAAGATTAAGTGGGGAAAAAAACTCCCAAATCTTTAACTGTGTATTTGGTACCAAATCTAAAACTTTATATTTGGTAAGCATAAGTGTGTACTTCTACACATGCATTGTATGTACGTATATTTACATATATATGCATGTACATATTCAGAAAAAAAAAACCTGAAGAAAGATACAGCAAAATGATAAAATGTGTCCTCTAATTTTCTTAGAGGTAGAGTTTTTCCTTCAGTACTTCCTCCAATTTTGTCAGTTTCCCACAATTTGTATTACTATAATAATCAGAATAAATCATATGCTTTTAAAAGACTTTGTTGTGAATCTGTTATAGGACTGCCTGTTTTACATGAGCCGATGGAGAATGAAGGGGATACAGGAAAGCAAATAATCTAGTTTCTAAATGAAACACCTTACCCATGCTCTCCAAATCTGCGGCATCTTGACCCTGCCTTAGGCAGGCTCAGTCCTAGTCAGGATGTTGCAGAGCGATCAATGGAGAGGATGTAGAGGGATGCTCATTTACCCTGCCTAATCTCGGATTTGAGCTTAAAGTGCTTTGAAATGCTGATGAGACTAGGAGGCAGTCCTAGTCAATAGAATGTTGGCCAATAGAAATGTTCTTCACCTTTTAATGAGTCAACTCTAAAAATTTTCATTCTTACTGAAAGATTTATGCAAACGGATCTAACAGTTCTGTTTCTTTCCACAGATTTGAATGTCACCTGCCGATTTGCGGGTGTATTCCACGTGGAGAAAAATGGTCGCTACAGCATCTCGAGGACGGAGGCTGCTGACCTCTGCAAGGCTTTCAATACCACCCTGCCCACCATGGCCCAGATGCAGAATGCCCTAGAAGCTGGGTTTGAGACTTGCAGGTAAGAAACAGCAAGGCCCACTGTGGAAAGCTGGCAGCCTGGGCCCAGGGGGCGGGCTCCAAGCTGGGCAGGCTCTTCCGGCAGATGAATGGCTGACTGCCTGCAGGGCCTGCCCCACCCATTCATTTGGCCAAGTCAATCTGGAACCTGCATGACAACTGGAATTGAAAGGCAGCTGAAGACACCTTTGTGAATCATATAGGGGTTGCTTTGGAGGAGGCCATTAAGGGTCATGGGTTGGAATTCTCTTGCCTAAAGTGCTTCCACAGCTTTCTCCAGGCTTTGAAGAAGCATGCAATATCATTGTCGAAACCACAAGAAAATGTAAACCAAATAACAGTGTTCAAAATAAATATGTGCCTGGTAGAGTCTTGGCCTTGCAGACTTGGCTTAAAGCAAATTTTCAAGCTCCTCCCCCTCCAGGTTTCTCTCTATAAAGTTTGAGAGGGTAAATAAAAGGGTGTGACAGTTATTAAAATACGTTATTCCAAGTGATTGGGAAGTGATTGGAGAGGGCCCCTGGTGAGGCCTGCCAGGGGTCACCGCAGGCCCTTCCGTTCCACGTTAATCACAGCAGACAATGGATTTTTTTTTATTCCGATGGTCATGTGGCAAGTGGCGCAGACTAAGCAAGCAGTGGTGATGACCACGACCACGGTGAAGTGTTTTCATTTTTTTTTTTTTCACTAGAAGAGTCTGGGCAATCTGAACAAGCAAGTTTTCACTGCACCTGATCTCCTCCCTGGTGCTTTTTCAATGCAGTCTCATTAGGTAACGAGTTTCCCACATACAAACACACACCTATAAACATGCAAACACAGACTGCCTTTTAAAGTCAAGTGGCAGAACTCTTTATGGAAACCATTAAATGGAAGTTAAATAATGTGCCCCCACCCATGGTTATAGAGTAAGGCACCCACATGAAGAGCATAGCCGAGACTTTCCTGCTGAAAAAGAAAAGGAAACTCTTCACTCTCAAGTCACGCCATCTGATATGGTAGCTGCTGGCCCCATGTGGCCACTTATACTTAACTCATATGAAGATTAAAACTTGGTTCTTCTGGGCCTCCAAGGTGGCCTAAGGGTTAAGTCTCAACGGTATCACCACTATGGCCTGAGTTCATTCCCCAGCCAGGGCGCTAACCCACATATGGGGCAGCAGACCTCTCCTGTCTCGCCCGCTGCTCCCCTCAGCAGTGTATTTCAGTCAGTAGGCCTGTTCTGCTCCCCACTCTGTCTCTGGTGAATCCTCTCACCCTCCCGCACGTCTGGCCTGTACCCCCATTCTTGTATGCATGAATAAATAAATCTCTAAAAGAAAAAGAGCAGGAAGGGAGATAGCTCTGGTACCTTTGAGTCAGGCTGTGGCTGTGAGGATGGCAGGCCAGTTAACAGAGTCATTTATTCTAGTCCCAGGGCTAATTGTTTCAATATGACCCTGACTAGGCCTCTAGCCTAAGAAAGTCCATTTAAGAAGGTGAATTTTGATTGTGAAATAAGTACAAGGCATACTTACAAAATGAAGAAATTTCTCAGATGTTCAAAATGAGGCAAGTTTTTATTACTTCACCAGCCAATCAGCAAGTGTATAGATGCTGGGCAGCTTGACTCCCTTGCCTGCATCCTCAGACTGCACCATGGGTTGATTATATTATCCCACTTTATGGATGAAGAAATTGAGGCTTATTCTCATTCTGCAGTTGGCCTGGACCAATCATCTGAATAGGGAGGAGTCAGGATTCTGGCCCTGCTTCATGTGAGCCCAGGATGAGATAACAGTAACCCAGTCCTTCCAAGAGCGAAAGGGAAGCCTGTTGCATGGATTTGCTGAGTCACTTCTTCCCTCCCTGTGGACAGCCATACACACATATATTTTACACATGTTTTAAATATCCCCAGCTCTCACACAGTGTCATGTATGAAGCCACAAACACTCAGGAAGAACCAGCAAAGGGCATGGATTCTAGAATGTCAGTGTTATATATCGAAGGTGATGGAAGTGCTGTGAGGAGTAGGCTCACCCAGGAGCATTGTTATTTTAAAAAGAACAAAAACAGAACAGTTCCAAAGAAATCTACTGTCCCACCCATCACTGGCATTAAGTGTTGCCAAACTCATTTGCTTAACTTCACTCAGGTAACTGTGAATCAAGCATCTGCCATAGGACAGATGCCCAAGACTCAGCCACCAGCATAAAACCTTAGCAGCTACTCGCTTCTGTCTGCCCTGCCCTGATTAGTGGCAATTCTCATATATGTGGAAACTTATTACCATTTAATTGCATCCCTCCCCCCGACACCCTAAAGATTCTTTGGAGGAACCAGTCTGTCCGTTCATATGAGAATTAGTCATGAGGGTACAGTTGCAACACCGGCATAATGAGCTCTATGTGCTTAAAAATTTTGAACTCATAGCCATTTCCCTGGATCTTCTGGGTGATGCATCATGTGCTGTTGCCCCGGGAAAGAAAGATTAAAAGGCTCTGTGCTGAGCATTTCAGCCAGCACTGCATTTTCAAAAACCTGCTGGATATGGCTTCTCCCTTGCTGGGGTGCTGGCCTCCCCTTGCCACCACCTCTTCCCTTGCAATTGGTATTTTCTCAGCCCATCTCATTTCTGGAGGCATTGTTTATTTGGGAGCAATTGTGTGGCAAGTATTTAGCCACCAAGATGCTGATAGAAGAGGTTGGGGCTGTCATGTCTGAGATGGTCTCTGGTTCTCACATGTGCCCAGAAACAGCTTGGTGAGCACAGTAGGGCTTTAGTGCTTCTCTCTCTGGCTGAGCTGCTTCTGGAAAATTCCTGGGGTATTGCTGTTACTGACTTCCTTGCCCTTCCTCTCATGTTAATGATAATCCATTTGCTTCTACTGGCCATGGAATGATGCCTGGGATGCTCATTGGGGTGAAATGTGCTGTGCGTCAGGTTTTAGGTTTGGAGTAAGGAAGTCTGGAGAGAGGAAATATAGGAAGGGAGGGGCTAGGGAAGGGTAGGAGAGAGAGAAGAAGGCAGACTTGATATCTTGGATTGAACCATCCAGTCCTCTCTGATGGACTAAGTCAATCAGGTCATTTTGGATATTTTCTGGAAAATATGAGAATACTGAAGAGCCAGAGTGGATCTCCTATCATTCTCTCTTCCCTGACTCTGCTTCCCTCTGCTTGCTGCAGCTGACTTGATACCCCATATGTTACTGGAGAGTGATTGTTTCTTTCCTGAATCTCTTTTTTTAACATAGAGCTCTAACTAAAATCACCTTGTCTCTGTCAGCCATGTTGATCCCTTTTCCTCTCCCTCTGCTGTTATTTTTGGAGTTCACAGCCTCCGTTGCAACTTCTCACACCCCTTGGGGTAAATGGAATGAAGCATGGCCCCTGGGAAATGTCACTGGGTGGGAGATTGTGAAATCCCCTTCACTGCCTTACAGGTGAATAACTCTGGCTTTGCTTTTGCAGGTACGGATTCATAGAAGGGCATGTGGTGATTCCTCGGATCCACCCCAACTCCATCTGTGCTGCCAACAACACAGGGGTGTACATCCTCACGTCCAACACCTCCCAGTATGACACCTATTGCTTCAATGCCTCAGGTGGGTTCTAGATGACTGCCTTTGCATTTCGGGTTCCTTTGGACAAGGAAGACTCTGGCAGTGAGACCGATGGCTATTCAGCCTTGGCTAAAGTGGGGGTTCAAAGAACAGAGGCTCACTGAATATCACTACAGCAGAGACAAGATTCCTGTCTCCAGGTGTTTACTTGTCATCCTGGAGAGACCACCAATAAATGATAAATATGAAATAGTGCATATGAAGTCAGAGAGTGAGAAGTGGGATAAGAAAAAAGCAGAGCAAGAGGCTACAGCATGTTAGGAACTCTTCATCTGGGAAGGTAGGCAGGAAAATGTCTCCAAGGAGGCTCATTTATGACAGTCTTGGGTGAAGTGGGAGAGATAGCCAGGGCAGATTGGGCAGGTGGAGCCAAGCCAGGTCTGGGGAGCAGTGTGCTGCTCCCAGAACAGCAGAGAATCTGGTGGGTGCGGGGCAGTGCTAAAGCCTGGTAGAACCCCAGAGGGGGACTGGTAATGAATAAAGACAAAGGGGTCAGCAGGGGTCAGACTGCATAGGGTCTTGAAGGCCATGGAAGAGAGTTTAGATTTTATTCTCAGTGGATGGGTTGCATTGGCATCAGTGGATGCCATTGCAGGATTTTAAATAGGTGATGACATGAATCTAATAGCATTAGAAGACAAGGCAAACGACTTGGAGTATGTACTAAAGGTTGGCGCTGAAGGGAGAAGGCTGGGAGGATATATGGTAGGTCTTTGACCTTCCTTAGTGTCTTTACCCAATTATTGAGAGCCTGACAATTAGACAATAAGAAAGCCAAGCTCAGGGGTGCATGCTGTGCTGCTGGCCGGGCCTCTTCCCTGTCTAAGGGCCTTACTTCCAAACATTAGCTTAGAAACTCATGTTTACAAGTCTCGTTCAGGCCCCAGCAAGATTGAAGAATTCCAGGCATCATGAATCTTCAGGGTCTTTTGAGATAGGTCAAAGCCATAAAAGTCAAAGTTTTGAATGCCAACAATCAGATAAATGTCTTTCTTCTCAAATTGGGCCTTCTGTTCCCCCTAAAGGTTTGAGATTGTGTGAAGGAAAAGACATATCACAAATTAAACTTGACATCTCTTCTTGAACTGTCAGTTGCATTAAGGATGGGACGTGGATGTTAAATTAGCTGAGAAGTGATTTAAGATACTCTATGAGATAAACTCAGCTAAGATTCTACAATGACTTACAGCATTTTTTATATGACAGATATTATATGAGATAGTGGAATATGCAAAGTGCATGCATTTTTCACTAAAGTAGAGACATCAGAGGAATTGTGAGACTACATCAGTAGCTTTAGACTACACTGCCCCCTCCACACACACTCACCACCATCCCGCTGTTGTATGTATGAACAGTATAGATTGAGTGGGAATCAAGAGGAGAAAATGAAAGTTTTGGAAAGAGAAAGTATCAGGGTTGATTAGTTGGGAAGTGTAAAACCAGTAGATTATGTCAAATATATTCAGATCACTCAACCTATGGAGAGACACAAAATAAGGAGGAGAAAATCATAAAACGGTTAATTCTCCCTGGCATATGAGGAAGGAAGCCCCTCTCAGAATCTAGCCAATCCTTGGGGTCAAGAAAGTCTCACTAAGCCAGACCCCCACATTGCCTTGCTCGCTGAATGGAATGAAAGGCTGTCCAGTACGGTCCCCTCGCCTCACATGGGAATTGAATGTGAACTGCACATTTGGGTCACCATCGTCTTAGCATGCTGCCAGATTTGATGTTCTTTATAAAAGCGTAGGCAAATTGGAGCATGAAAGGGGTCCATTTGAACAAAGGCTCTGCTCATTTACAAAAACCATCTTATTGGTTTTGACGTGATGCCCCTTTATGGCAACTCTGCTCCTGGAAATTCCTGGTGCACTACCGTTATCTGCAGTTATGTTTGAATTTGGAGGCATTTGTTCAAACTCTAGCACAAAGAAGCCATAATCCAAGGCCTGATTCTGGGTCTGTGCAATGTAGGAACATCAGAAGCATCTCACTGTTTCAACCACTGTTGGGTGGTGTTCCCAAATAAACAGGATTGTTACCCTAAAAGACCTCCCAGCTTGGCTATATGCCTTGATTTTCAAATGAAATAATTGTTGAGAAAGAACTATTTAAACTGCAAAGATGAAAGAAATATTAATTATTATTTTCCTCCCATGCTTTGCAAATTTCTTAAAAGATGGGACAAGAACATGTTTATCTTTTTTTCCCTTTTTTTAATTACATGATTGATCTGGTGTATGAGTAAATGCTTAAAAGGAAAACATAGACTGATATATCTGTAACTGCCTTGAATTGCTTGTTGCGGCATTCAGGGATTATCTAAATGCTTCTTGACCTGTTTATCTATGCAGACCACTTTGGGGGTTAACATCTCAGGTATGCTAACTGGAAAACTCAACCCTTGGGAAATTAGATTGATCCTTTTTTCCTTTTCCATTCATCAAACAAGATTTATTGAACATCTCTCTTTCTCCATCCCATATAATGTTCTAATCAACACAGATAAGGTTACTACTCATCTTACAGAGCTCACCTATTTCTGTGGAGGTGGGTGGATAGTAGACAGCACGGGTTTGGACATGAGCCATGAACAACCATCAAGTGAAATGAACAAGATAATTGTAGATAGTGGTGAACTTGAAGAAGAAAGGAGAGCGGGATAACATGTAATGGTGTGGGATGTGGGGGAGAGTGAGAATCTGGTTTAGAATTAAAAAATGAGAAATGGTTTTTCCAAGGAGATGACTCTTTTTGAAGAGTTTCTGAGAAATCTTCTAATCAGTCTTTGCAAGAATGGTTTTTCCTAAAACTTGCTTTATGTCCAGTTGAATATATGAATTTATCAGTTAATTTCTCTATGAAGGCAAATAAATAGGCAGATAGGGAACTTAGACTTTATTGGTGCAGAAAGATGCCCCAAGAATTGGGAAGCAAGCAAACCTATTTTGTTCAATGTGTGGTTTTGTCCAATTTGTTGCGTAATTAGTGATTTATACCAGAACGTGTAAAATACTTGGGATAACCGCCTTCCCTGTGATAGTAGCCTGCCTCTATCCATCCATCCATTTTCTACCCATCCATTTATCACCCCTTGCTTCCAAGAAGCAACTCTAGAGAAACCAACCCAACAAGATAAATTGCCATTTTACAGTAAAGTGTGCATGCACGTGTGTATCTGCGCGCGCGCGTGCGCACACACATACACTATAAAAGCTGTAATGTACCCATGGATTCAACTTTCCCTTAACAATAAAGTCAGTTAAAACTCTCTGGGATTTTAGTGTTCAACACAAGGTCTGTTTACTAAACAGAGCATCTGAGCACAAATGGAAGAGCTCATGGAGAGATCTGGAGAGATCATGTAGTCTTCTTTTAGGACCGAAGGAATGTGGGCAGGGTGGAGCTTTCAGGTCCTGTTTTATGAGGCTTTAGAGTGTGCTGTTCACAGACATCTGTGTGTGATCAGGCAGGCCCAAACTAAGGCAAAAATCTTCATTCCTGAAGAAGGGGGCAAAGTACAAGATAGATGGAGGACAAAATAAAAAGAAAAGTCAGAGATACATTAAAACAAGAGACATTCTGGGCACCTAAGCCAAAAGTAGTCTCAAAAACTACATATTAAGAAGCAGTCTAGAATAGGCACTTAAGGAGATTAGCTAAATTAATAAAGTAATACATTAATGAAAATATTAAAGATACAGTTGTTTTTAAATATTTCTAACAAATTCTTTGTTTATTTTAATCTTCAGATTATCATGCAGTTCATGTGGATAAATATTTTATATTTCTGCTGTGTTTTTCCATTATTTCTGTAGGTTATTGTGATTATACATGATTTTCTCATTATAGTGCATATATGTTTTCATTGAAAAATATTTTCATATTGATTTTATGGCTTAAAAATAACTTTTCATGTATGCTCACAAGAAAGGACTGTGTCCATTTTGTTCACCATTGTACAAAATATATTTATTTGTTAACAAATAAGTTTTTTGGGTTGGTATGGGAACAAGTAAACTTCCAGATATTTATGAAATGAAAATGGAAAATGCATTACAAAGACCAGATAATTCCTTAAAGGGTAGCCAAGTTTCAGAGAAAGAAAATTATTTGCATGGAATTAGCTAAAATAAAACTCCATCATAATTAACAGAACCAGGAATAGATTTAACTTATGTGTTTTGGTGTCCTCAAGATGTTTTCTTTTTCTCCCCAATAGCTGCCGAAATGAAAGAAGACTGTGCCTCGATCACAGACCTGCCCAATTCCTTCGAAGGTCCAGTCTCCATAAGTACGTATCTGTTCTCTACTTGGCTGAGTTTCCCCATCTTTGGGAAAGGGATCAGGTGCATTTTCTATGAGATGCAGCTGGCTAGAACAGTTCTCATTTTCCTAAGTTTAGAGACATTGGTGGTAATTCAATATCTCTTCCCTTTTCCTGCTATGACTTCAATCTACTCTCTGGTTTACCCCAAAACTCAAGTCCAGTCATTTGAAAATCACTGTCATGTTTTTTTTGTGGCATATTTATACATACAACATTATCATCTGCTTGATAGTTTTCATTTAGTTAACTCATTCTTTTCTATTTAAAAGGGATTATTTTTTTAAAAGAATTGCAAGTGGAAAACCAGAATGCCTTGCATAAGTAGAAATAAATGTTTAAAATATTTGTGTGGGAGGGCCTCCCCGGTGTCGCAGCGGTTGAGCTCTGGGTTGCGAAGCTGCCCGCGGCCTCTGCGGCGCCGGTTCGATCCCCGGCTGCTCCCCGGCCACCGGAGGAGGGTCCCACATGGCGCGCAGACCTCTCCTGCCGCCCGCTGCTCCCCTCAGCAGTGTACTTCGGTCCTTCTGCCTGCTCTGCTCCCCGCTCTGGCTCTGGTGAATTCTCTCACCCTCCCGCGCTTCTGACTGTACCCAGTGCTTGTACAAATAAATAAATAAATAATAAATCTTTAAAATAAAATAAAATATTTGTGTGGGAAAATGAAATAATTTTCTTAAATTCTAACTATTATAGACTCTGAGCCATGGGTTGTCTTATAGAAGGGGATTATACATGTTGGGAGTAGGAGTATTTTGACCCTTCAGATTTTCTAAAGGGTTTAGAAACTAAACCCTTTGATTTAACTAAAATATTGAAAGGTAATTATAAAGGGTATAAACTTCCCAATCTGTTTCAGCTCTATTTATACCCTGTTCACCTAAAATCATCTTGATTATCTTCAGCTGTTGGAAACAATATTTCAGAGATGCCAACCCACTAATTAATAGTCAATTATTAATCATTGCCAGTCAGCCTCATTTCTTTGAGGAGCAGCAGAGTGTTGAGGAGGCTTGGGGGCAGAAGTGACAGGGAAGCGAGACTCTTCCTGGATCACACAAATCTAGCTCCAGATTATCCTCCACTTGTGTAAAGAACTGCCCCAGCCTGTGCCTTGCAAAAGACAGAGGAAGTCGGCTATGTGAGACATGCTGTCTTTCTCAGGTGTGGTTTGAAATTCTGTTTCCTTTCCACAAATGAGATCTTAGAGGAATGACTTATTCTTTCCAAGCCTTAGTGTTCTCATCTGTATAATGGAATAACACAGGAGAATTGCCATGAAAATTAAAAAGAAAATATATCTAAAGACTGCCTGGCTCATTACTAGATGCTCAATAAATTACCCATTTTCTTAGTCCCCAGGGAGCTCTTTCAAAATCACAATTTGTGTGTGTGTGTGTGTGTGTGTGTTCCTTTATCTGCCTCTGCAAAGATTATCAGGTTGATTGAGACTTTGGAATGTTTTTAAGTTTATGTTTTATTAATAATTCCACTTGGGTAAGCAAAATAGATAAGTGCAAAAAAGGAATCTTTATCCCTACCAATGTAATACAGCAGAAAATAATTTCAGCCAAAGGCACCTTGTGGAGTGAGTAGCCCACGCTTGAAGGCAGTGAATATTCTTACTTTTTCTCCCTCTGTCATTTCCTGTTTAAAGCAAAGATTTTGACCTTTCTATATACCCATGTTGGTTAATTCTAAGTTTGAATTTCACAGAAGATAGAAGCAGCTCTGTCAATATTTAAGCATGATGATTCCTAGCCAGCAGTAAGAATTTGCTGAAACTGACAGAATCTGCTCTTTAGAAAGAAAATCGAATTCTTGCTGTATTTGCTGATACATCTTCTCTGCTAAGGCTAATCACTGCTTTATCTTCTCTGAATCCTTTTGGCAGTAGATGCAATTGACAGCAATCAATGTTGCATGTACTTCCAAAGGGAGAGTAGGGACCAGGTAGGAGAACATTATTTCTAAGCACCTATTGTGTGTGTTGAATACTGTTCTCAGTACTTCACAACATATAGAATGCTCATAACAAAAGCTAATGGTAGCCCCCCATTTTACAAATGATGAAACTGAATTTCAGAGAGTTCCCTTGTTGAGAGCCACAGGAAACCAGAATCCAACAAGGGGGCTGCCAAGCACATCCTCTTTCCAGGATGTGCAGGTGGCTGCAGCTGCTTCACTTTCTTTTTTTTTTTTTTTAAGATTTATTTATTTATTTATACAAGCACTGGGTACAGTCAGAAGCGCGGGAGGGTGAGAGAATTCACCAGAGCCAGAGCGGGGAGCAGAGCAGGCAGAAGGACCGAAGTACACTGCTGAGGGGAGCAGCGGGCGGCAGGAGAGGTCTGCGCGCCATGTGGGACACTCCTCCGGTGGCCGGGGAGCAGCCGGAGATCGAACAGGTGCTGCAGAGGCTGCGGGCAGCTTTGCAACCCAGCGCTCAACCACTGCGCCACCGGGGAGGCCCTGCTTCACTTTCTTAGGGCATCAGCTGTTCCATGCCCAACCCCCCCCCACCCCAACCACACACACTAGATTGGTAGTCAGGTATTGTTTTTCTAAATCACAAAGAAAATAACTTTGAAGTCACAGTCTTCCATGATAATCCACAGCCTTTTCCTACACTCAGAAAGTGTCAGCTGCCCCATTCTGAAAGAGCCTTCTTTCTCTTACAGCAATCGTGAACCGTGATGGCACCCGCTACACCAAGACAGGCGAATATAGAACGAACCCTAATGACATCAACCCCAGCAGTGCCCCTGAAGAGGACATGAGCAGTGGCTCCTCCAGTGAAAGAAGCACTTCGGGAGGTTACATCTTCAACACGCACCTGCCAACCACTGCTCACCCAATCTATGACCAAGAGGACTACGGAGTGTCCGAGAGCCCGGAGGGCAGCCCTGTCACCAGTAAGGAGAAGGCGTCACTCTGCTTTCCAATCTCACTGATTTGCTGAAATGTCTCTGATCTTTCTGAATGACAGGCACTTGTGTGTCCATTGTCTACTGTCGAGAAGTTGGTGACCCCGCTTGGGGAGGGGTCATGGCGGTTGTCAGTGACCTGTACACGCTGACTTCTATAACTTATGTTCTTTTCCATTGACAAATCTTTTTCTTACCTTGGGATAAGAAATGCTATATTGAAGCTTTTTTTAAAATTCTTAAATTCTTTTATATTGCGGTAGCATTGGTTGACAACACTGCGTGTGTTTTAGAGGTATAGGATTACCTCCTTCAGGTGTATGTTACCACACCCCACCGATAAGGCACCCATGTCTTTTGCCATAGTCCACTGTGCCCATCTCCCCTCTGTGTCCCCCCTCGCCCTCTGGTAGCCTCAATTCAAACTCCTCTTGTGCGCTTGTCACTAGGCGGTAGTGACAATCCAAGCCTGATACAGAAGCTATGTTCTGTTGCCTTCTTGCCAGAGTCTACCAACGGATGGGATTGTTTTCATAAAGTTGGAATCACTGTGTCTGGTTACCATTCCATCAACCCCTTTCCCAGTCAACTTTATATTTTTATGTTTTAACCTGATTTATACTCACGTTATTGATTGCACTGTGTTTGGTCATAGTCATCAACCATTGATTTACTAAATCATTCCTTTGTTTTTGGTCTATGGAAACATAGCTGAAGAGGTTATCTGCTCAAATTCAGTCTGCTTAGATGTTTTCTATAGCAGCCTGAGGGGAAGGCTCTTAGTACTTGCTGGTTTGTGTGGGTAATTCATTACTTTGGGGCTGTAAGAGTGGAAATATGTAAACATGGCATTGGATTTCTTTGGGGGTTTTAGTCCCTTGTGCTTTACTTGCAATGGGAAGTGTTTACATCTCCCTCTTAGCTTCTTCTCTTCCTCCTCTTTGCTTCCCCACTATGGTTTGTTTTAAAACTGGTTTCTGGATTGACTGCCTGCTTTCTGGGGATCATTTAAATGCAAACAGGGCATCTGCTGGAGGGCTTTCCTGCCTTTCCTCACAAGGCCTGCATTTCCCCCTTCCTGGCTGTGGCTCTCAAAAAGTGGGACTCTGAGCTCGAAGAGTGTGCAGAAGAGTGTGGCAGAAATCTACCGGCTCGTGAATGCTCAAGGTGGACACCTTTCTATCCCTTTTCACTCAGAAGCCAGGGCAACCTCCCGAGCACTGTGATTTAGCTCAAAAGTGTTTTCTGTGAGTGCCTTGCTGAGGGTGTGGCACAAATAGATTTGGGGTTCTGTTCAGTTTCTGCAGATTCTTTGAAGCATTTCCAAAAGCAGAAGTTTCAAACTGCTTTCCCACATTCCTAACGGCCTTGAGACTGTCAGCTCATAATTGTGGTCCCAAGGACAACCCTTCTTAAGAGAACCTTCTGCAAACCCGGCAGGCAGCGCTACAGGCTACTTGCTCCTCTGGGGTTCCCTGTCTTTTATAAGTAACCACGTTGAAGTTGCTTCTCATCAGGCCAGGCCATTTTATCAGGCAGAACCAACATAATTAGTAGTCTTAGCAGGAAGCAGATCAGGTCAATGCCAAAGTACCATTTGCCACCAAAGAAGAAAATCCTGACAAAATGTATCACGTGGAATGTTGAAGCTGACATTCAGGTTGCCAATAACCTATATAAAATAGTACTTTACATGTGCTGTAGGAAGATTATGAGCACTTTTAATGAACATTCATAGTTCATTTTTTAAGCACTGTGTCTTTCCTGATTAAGTTAGTCGGCAAACATATTTTAAGGACCTAGTGTATCCCAAGCCTATGGTGATCTATGATGTTATTAATCACCATCAGATGTGATGTCAAAGAGAAGTAAGATAGTTCTTCATTCAAACTATGCTTCAGGTTTTCTCAGTGCTGAACTTAGGACTAACTCAGAGTTAGTGCTACCTTCATGGAGCTTAGATAGTGTTCAGAAATCAAGGAAAAAGAATGCTAGGAGACTCGGTAGAAAGATGGTTCAGGATTTGGGTTGAGAAACAAGTAATGCTTTCGTCTTTTCAGAGCACTTTGCTAATTTTCTTTTAGTAGTTTAGGGAGAGAGAGATTCATTTTTTCTACTAGAGTGCATCCAGGGAAGATGAATTTGAGAGTCTTGAAATGTTATTGTGTGCAATAAACCAACAGAACCTTCAAGCAATCCAATTCGTACAAAGAAGTGTGTCAAAGCAAGCAATTAGGTGGAAACTTGAAGTATTAGACACACTAGAAAAAGTTAGCCTGATAAGTTCCTGAATAGATTGTGTTTTCTAAGTCCAGTGAGGAGATTCCCAAAACCTTATGACTGTTGGACCGAGAATGGGAATTAGTGATTACACATTCTCCCTATTGCCTGCAGGAGACCAGAGGTCAAGAGGGAAGCTGGCTGAGTGTCGGGCAGCACAAGTCCTTGGCTTGGCTGGCTCATCCCCTCCTAGAGGGTCTTTAGTGGGTGGCAATAGGGAAAGTCAATAAGAACAACCATCCGGGAAGTTTTTGACTTCAGCAGGCGTGTTTTGTTTTTTTTTTTTTGTTTTTTTAATAAATGTTATTTTTGGAAGAACCATCCTGGAGGCATGTCATTACCCTCTTTTCAATGGTGATCTGGACTTCATTGGAATCTAGAAACCTAAACTAATTCAGGAAACAGACTCCTGCCTTGGAGTTCTCTATTTCCTTGTCTTCTGGGTGTCAAATAATTTTTTGGATGGTCTGGCACGGCTGACTTGGGTGGGGAAAACTGGAAACTCTGTTGGCGTAGCAGTTGCTTTTTCATATGACAACTCTCAAGAAGACAGAAATAATGCCCATTTCTGTCTTGCTCTCATATACTTACTTCTTGTTGGTTTCTTCCTGGCTTCTTATAGGATGAGGGCAGCGGAAACTCTTTATCTTTAATGAAGTTTCTGAGCTGAGAATGGGGTGTCTGAATTTTCCAGGGAGATGCTAAAGTTTATCTGACAGCATCATTGGTGAAATGGCTTTCTTTCTACTCTCTCTTCTGAGCAAATATGGCCTCTTGGCACAGAACACAGTGTGCAGGGTGTTGATGTTTGGTGGACAGAGATGGAGTTTTTAATCTGGAGTTCCTGGACTTCCAGTAGATTCAGTGACAGGCCACAAGGTGTTCAAGAACCACCTGAGATAAATTTTGAGAGTGTATACCTGCAAGATTGCTTTCTTGAGGAGAAATGTTGTCACTTCTATTGGGTGTGGTTTTTGAAGATTTCAACTGCTTGAGATGTTTATCCTCATGATCTTTTCATTGTTCATCTACAGGGAATCATTCTGGACTTAAGTCCAACTTGAGAGTCAAATGAGAGATTTCAAGTTGTAAAATATTACTGATTATCCTTCCTTTAATTTGAACAGAGTTCAAAATCTAACTTGGGCAGTTTTGTTTCTTTTCTGGGAACTCATTCAGAATTATAATCAAAAGTGACAGAAAGCGTTAGGTGGATGCTTGAGGAAGCTTTATCTAATTTCAACACTTTGAACACACATTCTTTGCAAAGTTCCACTCAAGTGTAAAGCTTGACTTGAGGTTAATGATTGCGGGTTGAGCTTTGAAATGCCTGTTGTCATCACACTATCACTTAACAATAATAGACCAGAAACATACAAGCAACAGCTCTAAAAATACTCCATAAATAAATGAATGAAAGCAACTTTCAAAAATGACTCTCCAGTAAATATAAAATCTTTTTCCAACATGGATTATTAAATGGCTGCTGATTTTGCTGTGAGCCTGCATTCTACTAGCACACAGAGGATCAGTAAACTAGTCTTTCTTTCAATCCATATTTGAGGACTTCTCTGTGCCAGATGCTACACAGAACATGAGCAGCGCTGAATTACTGCGCATTTGCATTTCTGATTCTGTCTTATGATTCTCAGAGACTGGAAAGATAAAACCAGGTCTTGATTTTTATCCCTAATCTTCATTCTATTATGGACACAGGCTGACTATACAGACGGGACTGGGAATAGAGGTTTTGTGGCAAGAATTCACTAAATGATGTTTTCATAATTGATCCAGTTACTTCAGCTGTGTACTCAAATAGCCATGCAGCAGCTCAGGAACAAAATAATTGGATATGGTCCTGGTTGGGTAATTCACAGCCAAAGACTCAGGATCGAACAACAGCAGCAACGACAGGTAAACTGTTATGTCTTTTGCTTATCTGTTGTCCTGAATGACAGGTCTCTCAGTGTTAAAGGAAACAGTATCCATTATCATGATGGGGAATTTTCCTCCTACTGCTCCTTCACCCTCCTTTGTAACCACAAGGTGTGAGACCTTTTCATTTATCTGAAAGGCCTGTGGATCGAGGACCTTTTAAATATCCTATTTGTTTCCTTCTGGAGATATGCTCATAGAATCAGAATTATTTTTCTCTTCAGAAGCTTTGGAGATTCATTCAAAATGTGCATTCTAGAAAGAAGTCAATTAGAAAATCCATACTCCCTGCTGATCTAATTACCAGTCAGTAATAGTAATAGTAGGAAGGAAGGACTGCTTTATGGATGGAAACTATAGGCCCTGGGCCCTGGATACCTGTTTGGATAATTGAAACTTCCACTTAATATGTAGGAAGTGATTTGTTGCTTTACATCAGAATCTAGGGCTCTAACAAGCTCCCTGGATGTTTAACTATTTACTCTAAATTATTGCAAAGCATTTTGACATGAGAGATTTTGTGGGAAAGGATTCAAAGTCTGTTACAAAGGTAGACTACAATTATATTTTCATTTAGGAGCTTTTGTTGATGGAGGAAATGTCTGCAATTCAAAATAATTAGGCATTCTTTTTCTAGAAGGAGAGTAATAAAATTGGTTTTTTACATTTGTTTAACTCATAAGACATTTACTAAAATATTAGTAACTAATAGAATAAGCTATTTTTATTTCAACAAATACTAGCATAATGAAACTAGTGCTGATGTTATGTTATGCTTGCATAACATAGTGATTAATGGGCTGATGTGTGTGTATGTGTGTGTATGAAAGAGGGGGGTGAGATTGCAAGATAAATATACTATTTTTAAAAAGCATATTGTGACAATCATTATGAAGCACGTCTTACCATTGCTTCATCTTGGGTCACTTCTGGGCTTTCTTGATAGCTGAAGAAAGCAGTCTAGGTCAGCTTTCTTTCACATTTGGTGACTTAAACTTGGTTTCAGCATCCCTGCTTGAATTTTTTCTGGTTTTTCATCTACTCTTATCCAATATTCTTCTGATACATTGCATGGTTGCAGAAATGGCAGTCTTTGGAAGTTTCCAAATCAGAACTCTTGCTTCTGTTCTTATTGATGAGATCATTGGGTCACTTCATCTCTGTCTTTCCTGACTGAATACTGTATTTTCAAGAACTGGGACTCAAAATATTCTGTTCTGCTTTGCAAAGTTGGTGTTTATATGAAAAGTGACCATGGACAAGGTTACTAGAGGATTTGGACTCTGCATGGAGGAAAGTAGAAAGGCTTTTTTTTTTTTTTTTTTTTTTTTTTTTTTTTTTTTTTTTTTTCAAAATTCATCTGTCATTCTTCCCTGTCTTTAAGAGTGCTGGGGTTATAAGTCTTAGACTGCTGGCAGAAATATCATATCCTAAATTCTTGGACAATGATATTGGTTGGTCAATACAGACTGTATAACAGATGAAGTACTACTAATCTGAAGAGCTGGGTTTTAAAATAGACTCTCAGATTTGAAGAGGATCTTAAATGGTCTAGTTCAGTCAATAGCTCTAATCATTTAATCCCCTGTACAAGTTTCCTGCTAAGTGACCTTCTGATGGTAGTGATCATAATTCTCTATGAAGAAGCTCATTGTTGGTTAGTTCAGATTACTGCCTTTTGAATCCAGCATTTGGAAGAATATCCATTTCCCAAAATTCTGAGCACAGGTCTTAGCTTGACCTTTTGAGAGTGCAGACAAAATTATAATCCCTTTTACACTATAGTTTTTCAAAATTCAAATATAGTTCTCATGTTTCTCTTGAGAACTTTGTTATATAGCTTATCTGCCCTCAGACAAGTGAGATCTTGCAGCACAATTTTTTCATCTCTAAGATGACAAGCATGAACCAGATGGTATTTAAGGTCCTTAAATCTCTGACATTCTATGAACTCCAGTCTGGGCCATGGAAAGAAATGGGACTTCTGTGCTTTTTTCTTTTCTTTTAACCGTCTAACTCAAGTATAGATGATTGTCTTGAATAGCAAAAGAGTAAGAGCATACAGGATGCTATTCTTTAGGAACTGATAATTAATTTTTCAATGATCAATTCAATTGTAGTTACAACAGCTTTGATGAGCACTAGTGACACAACTCCCAAAACAGCAACCAGGAAACAAGAAGCACATGATTGGTTTTCATGGTGGTTTCAACCATCAGAGACTAAGAATCATCCTCACCCAACAACAAAAATGGCTGGTAATGAGTTATGATTATCTCATGTCATATGTTTTTTGACAATCTTCCATAATTCTCATTGATTTATGGGATATTGTCAAAGTCTAAAGTCTTTCTGGTTTCATAAATTATTTCTTTGATGACTTTAGAAAGATCATAAGTTCTGAGATACTCAACATTGTAGCATTAAATAATCAGATTTCTTCTTTCTACACTTTGGAATTAATAGAGCATGGAGGAGGCTAATAAGGAGGAGGAACCAGGTCTTTCTTGATGAGCGAACAAAATTTTGACTTTGAAAGCTATTCTACAATGACCAAAACATAAAAAGTTCTTGACTTTTCATAAGCAAATAAAATAAGATAATTAAAGCTAACAAAATATTTTAAAAAATCATCATCAATGAAACTATTTTGGGATTAAACACTTATAAAAAGACAAATAGTCATTCCAAAAAATAATCTGGAGCTCATTCAAAATATTGGAAACCTGTTTTCAGTAGAGACATCTCTTACTGTAACCACTAAGGAAGGTAGAAAGTAAAAGGTTTCTATATCCTTTTCTGTAAGTGTATCTAAAAAAAAGTGAGGATTTCTCAAAATGCCAGCTACTGTACACTTTAGTGACCCCTTTGGTTGATTAATAAAAGCTCTCTTTTAATTGATTAATTTCTTTGTTCTCTGCTAAACCATTACTGGGAACTGCAGTGAAGTTTTCATGTGCTCTCAGAGCTACGGTGATTTGGTGCTAGAGAAGATTAAAAAATGATTTAGCAAATTGTGAATACAATTATGGGAGTTTAGAAATAAATAAATATGTGTTTAGATTCCAATGTTTTTGTGAAGATGATTTGACAAAGCAAATAGGCACATATGAAATCTTCCCTTTGTATTCTTGCCATCTTATCTTTAATGGCATATGCTTAATAGGTTAACAACAAATGTCTTTGGAAGAAAGGGGGAATTCCGTTCATTGGCCTCTTTTCCTTTTATGGAGTTATGTCCATATTTATTCTTTTAACTTCCTTTAGAAAACAGTCAATTGTAAAAATCATAACCAATTGCTTTTAGGCCTATATATTAGCTTCAGGAAAAAAAGAATTTGGGGAATACAATCCAAACCTCTTTACTTTATTCTTGCAATCTTGGGAACTCCATTATACATTCTGTGCCTGACTTTCTTCCTTTATCAAATGGGTTGCACAACATCCAGTTCATCCACTAACATGAGTCACCACAACAGGTACGGATTCAAATATCATCTCAGCAGGCTGGGAGCCAACTGAAGAAAATGAAGATGAAAGAGACAAACACCCCAGTTATTCTGGATCAGGCATTGATGATGATGAAGATTTTATCTCCAGCACCAGTAAGAATAACCAATTACAGTAGAACCATTCATGCAAGTTTCTGAGTGATGCCCAATAGTGTCTATCTAGGGAAATCTAATCTGAAATATGAGCATGACCTTATCATCATATCTTACTTGTACCTTGATGAGATTATGAAGGAAGAAATAGAATTTTTTGAATGGAAGCAAAACACATTTGGAGAAGAAATGGGAAAGATATATTTCATAAAATTCCCAATGCCTCATGATATTTATTTCTTTTTTTTTTTTAAATAGGGACTGCTCTATGAAGTCTCTTTTAATTATTAAGCCTTGTCAGAGGTGGCCTAGTAAAACATTACAATAAATATTGTGTACCTACTCTGCTAGGTGTTTGAAACACAAAGATGAAAAAAAAATACCATAGAATTCTTGCTTTCAAGGATCTCATGGTCTATTGAAGCAATAAAGTTGCAGAATGTGATTGGAAGGGTATTAGTTAAATTTGTAGATGATCCCAAATTGAGGCTTAGAATGTTCTAGAAAGGCTTAAGTTGAGAACAAGAATTCAAGAATTGTCATAGTTAATCAAAAGCTAGTTGAGATCAAGATAATTAATCCAGAGTTTTAACAAACAAGATAGACAAAAATAAAACAGAAAGATACAGAAGAGAAGGACAGATGTCAGCTGAACTTTAACAACATATTGCCAACTATTAAAGCAAATGTTGAAAACATTGCATTATAGTGTGACAATTGTAAAACTTTTTGAGAATAAGGATGGAAATTGAGCTGAAATAACCTTTAAAATGCAAAGGTTGGTGTCACAGTCTATCTTCATGGCTATTTCTCACATATTCCTATAATGACCTAAGATGTTGCTAAACAGAGACAACAATCCTAGACTTGGCTCCATCATAATTCTGTTTTTCCTTGCAGATGATGTGTATTTGGGGTACTGCATGAGTCCTCTCTGGTTACTAAAGTTCTGTTTGTCCTATTAAAACCTGAGAGTTTCATCCCCAAATGGCAGTACCCAGAGAGAGAGAAGTCCAAAAAATAGCTCACATGTTGGAGGCATCTCAGTATATGACACTGATATAACCAAGACTTGAGATGAATAGGATGCTTTATATCTCAGTTTTTAAATGGGTATAGTTCTTAATTTGGACAACTCTGCAGAGCTTAATCAGTTGAATAAAGGAAACTCTAATAACTTCAGAATGACAACCAAGTAACCCAATCACTGGAGCTATACTATTACACTGTCTTTTGGGTTCAGGATATGGCCCCATCAATAAAGACGTGTTCCTTAGTACTTGAGAAACTCTCTTGGGTGACAAATCAATCAGAGAATAATTTATATGATTAAACTCCAAGAAAACACTTCCCTTGGCATTTTTCATCTCTGTGACCACTTTCCAACTTCGTCCATTTTTCTGCTTGGGGCCCATGCGTGTCATTCAGTAGGATGCTGTCTTCCGTAAGGGTATGATGTTACCTTTCCATGCTTATTGAGAATATGGCTCATAATATTTCTGTGAAAAAGAGCACTACAGTTCTGAATGGAATTTTGTATTATTTGGGTATCAAAATAAAGTTTGAAAGAATTAGGATGGATTTATAAATGACCTTTCTACTAAAGATACTGAATCTGAATTTGTCATGATCCTTTTGCCAGGGACCTTTTCCACTCTCCCTCCTGTTTTGAGTGACCACATCAGGGTGCTGGTGGATGTATATCTCATCTTTTTTTTTCGGTGAGCTGCTGTGATGGTGGTTGGTTACCTATGGTGTTTTTCTACTGAATGTATATACCTTGTTTTTCTTTAATTGGCTATGAATGGCTTGCTTGTGAAATGCTTTGTATTTGATGAGAATACCATAGGTATTTGATAAATCTGCAAAATGTATAGCTAAATCATATAACCATTCTGCATAGATATTCGACCTTAGACTCACCTAGAGAAAAGCTATGGCTGCTCAGCGTGTTTCTTTCCCACCAAAACTACTAAAGGCATAAAGTGATCATCGTGGTATAACTTTCAGGTCTTTACCTCTTCAGCCTGTGGATCTACATGTAGCACACATGCCAGTGACACAGAGTCCCTTGGGCTTTTCAGTGCCAAGGGCCATTACAACTGCATGGATGAGCAAAATTCTGACATTTTTGGTTATCCTCGGTGGAGGGCTGGCGTTTTTAAACTGTCCTTCCTCCTGCTGCAGTTCTTTGCCTGTTTCTCCAGAAGATCTCATGTTCTGACCTCAACTATGCTATGACAGAGTTTAAAGGACACTGAGATGCTTAAGAATATGGCTGAATCAAGCTGAAGTCTCTCTCTACTTTCCCTCCATTTCCACTCAATCATCTATACAAGCTGATATACATGATTCACGATATAGACTACAGAAGGGGGAAATGTGCAAAACAAGTGGTGAAGGCTCAAGAAGTAACGTTATCTTAACTACTTCAATCATCATTATCACAGTTTCAACGACAACACCAGTTCCTATGCACCCAGGTGAGAACATGGATTGGACTGTATGGAGACCAGCTTCTGTGGATCCAGAACTATTACCTCAGACAACCACAAGCATGAATGGTAATGGGTTATGCATATTTAATGAAAGATTTTTTTTCTCAAAGTCTATGATGCTGCCTAGGCCAATCATCAGTACACAGTGGGAAGTTTAGTTACTGTATCATCACAAATTCTTAGTGAGCTTTTATGAGGATACTCAATTTGACTTGGGAGTCATTTATATACTGTACCAGGTGGGAACAACATATTTTATGTTGCCTCATTGTAAAGATGAATATCTTGACAATATGGTTTGAGTAGAATAAAGGATAATCATTAAGAAATGTCATGCCCATTGGAGATTGGTGCCCAGAGCATTAAATAGCCTGTCCCTTAATGGGAGAACAGAACAATCAAAGGTCAGTTGCTAAAAAGTCATAGTGTATATAACCATCATCATGACAGATGTGGACAAAAGTGGCACCAGTGCTTATGGGGAAAACTGGACCCAGGACCCTCACCCTCCTCTCATTCACCATGAACATCAGAAGGAAGAGGAGACCCAACATTCTACAAGCACAAGTAAGAAGGATGGTGTCAGAGGTGCTGGTGTAGACGAGTTCGTTCCAGCGAATAGGGAAGACTTTTCTTAAACACTGATCACATCTATATTCACACAGTGATTTCTTTTATCCCCAGAGAATAAAAAAAATTGCCAAATCTGTGCACAATTTTTTAGAAATTGGAAGAAAGATGTTAACTTGTCAAGTTGTCCCAAATGCCAAAATGTTGAAAAGTTACAATGCTTTTAAAAATCTGAGACAGAATTTTTATGTCAAATATTCCTAATGATTTTATTTGGGTGATTTGTGTGTTTATGGATGTAGGAAAAGTGTTTTCTTTGGGTGCTTAGCAGTGGGATCTGGAAAGAAAACTTGACAAGCACAATGATTTTGGAATCTATCCTTTTGATAAAGATCTTTGAAGACTCCAGTTTCTTTTTCACATTCTGGTCCATGCTGCATTGTGGAAAGGCATCCGTTAGGTTCTTTGGGGGAAAGTTCATAACTTAGATGGCCTGTGTTTGAATTCTGTGACTCTTCTTTGTCTTTAAGCCTGAGGTAACTTGGGGAAGGCTTTGATGCTATTATTCCTACTTGCGTGCAAACACCTCAGGTTTTCTAACTTTAGGAACAACAGTTGGACTGTGAGGGTAGAATTAAAAAGTAAGAAGTGTATTTACTCTTATTTATCATGTTTGGGATTTAAAAAAATAAGCTTTAATTTTGGGTAATAGCTTGTAGCATTTTATAAACTATGATTTAACTCTCATTCTCATAACCTTGGATACTCCTAAAAGGAAAAGATAAAACACAGACACACACACACACACACACACACACACATGCACACACACATGTCAAATGGAGAAGCCAAAGGAGTTGGGAATCCCTGGTTTGAGGGATGTCTTCAGACATCAGCTAGGACATAGGTTAACAGGTCCTGAGATTGATACTGAATGTGTCCAACAGGGATTCACTTCATTACTTACCCCAATAGGTTTCATATACCATGAAAATGATGGGTTGAGTTAATAGAGGAATTTTCTGATAGAAGGAAATAAGAAGCAGAAGTCTATTGAGAATGGGATTCTGTAACAGTTCCCGTTGGGTCTTAATAGCATAGCTTAGAAATTATTTAAGACAGTTTATATTTAAAAAGCAGAAAGCTACTTAAGAGGCTTGGAATTAATGAGCATGTTGTCAAAAGATGTTCTGGGTGGGGCATCAGTGCTGGAGGGGAATTGAAAAGTGCACTTAACAAAGCAGGAAAGCAGCAACAGCTCCCAGCTCCAGCAATTCTTACAAAACACAAAGAGAATCTCATTGACTTTTGCACTTTATCGAGAGAAAAACAATTTCCAAAAGAAAATCAACCTTCATATTTTACAATGAATATTCCAAACCATGCTAACCCATATGTTGAAAACAACACAAGGATTATTGTGTTTTTAAAGATAGTGTTAGAAGGAGGATGGAGTAGTGTGTGTGTGTGTGTGTTCATGTGTGTGCACACATGCATGTTTCTTTTTTTCTTTTCTTTTCCCCTTTTTTTAATGAAACTGCAGTAGATAGTCTTATGCTTGGGTTAACTTTTCTTTTCATTTTTTTGTAATTATACTTTGTGGTTCTTCTAACTTCATTATTTGTCAGGAGGTAGCAATTTAGTCAGTGGGAGGCAATATTTAGGATTTAGATTTTTTTCTCCTCCCTCTGGATAACCAGTTAACCCCAAGAATGTTTTGCCAAGGCAAAGATAAAATGGGGATAATAAGTTTTACTTTAAAAATATTTTTGCAATTATCAAATTACACTTATCAATTTTCTAAAACAATGAATTACAATCAATTCTAAGAGAGAAAAATGCTTTGGCTTGACAAGTTTAAAGACTCATTTCTTGATTAACTAAAAGTTTGCTGTTAGTTGTGATAGAAGAAAATGTCAAAGGCTTAATGATTTTTCCCAAAGACATCCTGATAGATTTTTTTACTCCATTCATTTTGTCCTTTTTAAAACTGAAATATTGCAGCCAGTCTCTTTGCAATTATACTGTAACACTAGTATTGTTTTTATAATGCAAAACAGTGGCTAGAATAGTTTGTCTTTCACTGAGTTAATTTTATGGAAAAGCAATTTTGTCAATTTTATTTACTTATTTTTAAGATTAATTTATTTATGCATAGGAGAACTGGGGTATAGGCCAGAGATGAGGGCAGGGGTTGGTGAGAAGATTCACCAGAGACAGTAGGGAACTGAATAGGAGGACTGACTGAAGTACACTGCTAAGGGGAGCAGCGGGTAAGACAGGAGAGGTCTGCTGTGCCACGTTAGCTCCCTGGCCAGGGATCAAACTCACACAGTGTTATAGTGTGATAGAGCTTAGACTTAACCCCTATGCTACCAGGGAGGCCAAATTTTATCAATTTTAGATACCACATACATGTTCCCTCTTACTGTACTAGTGGAGTAGAGTCCCTTTCATTGCCAATATCTTTCATGCTGGACAGACACTGCTGGTACATTTCCAGTGCACATGGTTGTGGAGTGTGGTCATGTGAGCCCATCTCTACTGGGCTCATCTTGTCATCTATTGTTATGTAATCTATCCCTCTCCCCCATAAATCACTGGAGCAAAGAGGTGGACTCATAGGGTGTATGATGTCATAGGCTATAGAAAAATAATGCTGGGAATTCATAAACCATGGTCTAGTCCTACCTCTGTACCAATCAGGCTATCTGATTCTGAGCAAATCAAAACTTCTTTGGGGCCCCATTTTTTCTTCTGAAAAAATGAATGGTTTGGATCATTTACTTTCCAATATCCCTTTCAGAAAATCAATGCTTTCCTTTTCTACCTTTTGTCCCACATGTAAATGTCATTAAGGTGGAAATATATGGTTTGGTGAGGAAATTGAACAATAACAGCTCACAATTCACATTCTTCTCACAGCCCAGGCAACTCCTAGTAGCACAATAGAAGAAACGGCTACCCAGAAAGAGCAGTGGTTTGGGACTGCATGGCATGGGGAGTATCCTCAAGTGCCTAAAGAAGATTCTGACTCAGCAGCAGGGACACCCGGTAATGGATGGGTTAACAAAGAAAATTTGGTGGAAACTTTCTCTTGGGTTAAATGTTGGATATTGAAATGACTGAATGGAAAGACATTGAGGGAATCATAAGATGTCATAAGATGTTCAGGTTCCTTAATAGATTATAATGCAGTCAATGAATAACAAATCACCTGAACAAGAATGCATATAAAAGCACATGAAAGAGAGCCAAAGAATTAAGTCCTTAAGTATGTCACTTTCAGAGTTAGTTTTGAGCATACCTGAGTGAGATTGTAGTAGAGGGTCTAATCTAAAAAACTCCATTTGTTTTGTAAAGGAATCTACTTTGTGATATGGGCCCTACCTTTATAGCATGTGGTTCTCTATAAACTTGTTCAGAACCCCCGTGTTTGAAGAAATGGAGTCAGGCACTTGGAGAAAAAAAAACTGTCTGGTGTCATTTCACCCTTTTATCATGTCTACTTGGTGGTTTCTTCTTGGATATAGAATGGCTTTTAGATTTACAAGAAAGACACCTTTTTTGTTCTTGAATTGTGGAATTTTGGAAATTGGACTCATGTCTACTTGGTGTCAGATAACGTGACTCTTCAAGTTCCTATGTATGATTCTTTTCTCTGTGTGAAAGAAACATTGAAATGCATCCTGTATTGAAAATGAATGCAAGTTTCATATTCTCACTTGGTACCAGAGAGAAATATTCCCATGTATCTGTTTGTAATATAAAACATAATGCAAAATGTCCTTTTAGTGTATGGCAACGTCAGAATGCATTTCTGGAAAAGCAGTGAATTCAGTGACTGGTTATTTGGTGTGGTTGTTGCTAAGGGACTACTACTGTAATTTTTTCTACCTATACTTTTCCATTGACTCAGAAAAATGTGATAGGATGTGCTGCATTCTTATATGTCTTCCATTGCCACAAATTCTATTGTTTGAAAGCAGAGTTTCTAATGGATTCCATTCTTGCCTTTGAGGTGAATGATGTTTACTTTCACATTTATCTCTTGGGAAGCTGTTACCTGATTACTTCTCTAAGTCATTACCAGCTAATGTGCATTTCACTGGGATGTGGTTGTCTCAGAATGACTTCACGTGCTTGGACTCGTATACTTCCTCCTCTAGGGGATGTGGAAGCAAGGCCTGGGTCAAGAAACTACTTCTCCTTCACTTTTACTTGACATCTATAATTCATCCTCTATCCATTGGAGAAGTCATTAATGCTTTCATGTCCTCCAGTACACATACTGATTGCTAAGAAAATGAGTGTGAGTGGATCTATACTTGCTAACACAATCTGCATTTATGCAACTTTCTGGCCTTCTCAGAAGATAGTTTCATTTTCTTTTCTAGAAAATAAAGTCTTTTTTAATAAGTCAGTGTATTCCTGGCCAAATGTTGATTAACGCTTTGACAATTGCTTGAACTGCGTCATCACAGCAACCTCAGCCCATGAAAGCCATCCAAGTCAAAGGATGACAACGCAGAGTCAAGAGGACAGTTCCTGGAATAATTTCTTCAACTCAGTCTCACATCCAATGGGAGAAGGTCATCAAACACAAGGGAATATGGGTAATAGCCTCTGAGCTTTTAAAAATTATATATTATGCTTTTGAAAGCTATCAAATAGCTATTCTTTAGAAATAAGTCCTTGGTTTTAGACCAGTCTACTTTCCTATGAAAACTGAAGTCCCTTCTTAGAAGTCATGTGTACATTCTTGTGAATATGAAATTGTACACCGAGAGAGAGGAATTTGGCAGGATGGATAAAGAAGAATTAATCCTAAGATGATGAAAGTGGAAATTATTTTCTCCAAAGGAGAAATCTCAAGATTTCTTTTCCATTTACTTTTAAGAGGAGGGTTTTTATAAGGGTGAAGTGGTATATTCAGTAACTATTTCCATTGTAATGATTATTTCCATTATAGGCCCCCAAATAAAACTTGCTTTGGTAGGGAAATCTTAGAGGATAAAAAATTAATAAGTACTCATTGCAAAAAAAAAAATAACAAAAAAGCACAAAACCTTGTTATTTACATTTGCCACATTTAGAGATAAATATGCCCAGTGACTTAAGGTTTAGGTCACTCTTGGTCCTAAGTGAATGTTTGTGAATTTAATGAGTAGACAACTTTTATAAGAATGAAATCCCTGTTTTCTTAAATATATTTACCTATAAACAATTTAAAAACAATTAAATGAGAGGAAGAGAGAGAAAGATGTTAATTGTAGTTCTAAAAGATTGGGAGATTGTGATTTTGACCAATTTTCCATTCAAAAGGAATTCTTCCTTTATCAAAATTGATAGATAGTAGATAGATAGATAGATAGACAGATAGACAAATTATCATCTGGATTACAACTTCCAAGGATATGCATAGCACAAATCTTACTGAAATTACTAAGAGTGCAATGACAATGTCTCTAGTATTGAATTGAACAAAGGTATATCCAAAATGAATCCAATAGTTTTTATGTTTTCATTTCCTTGGAATTAATAGTACATCTCCAGCCTGATGAATAGAAAGAGAGTCCATTAGATTGATGAACAACATGTCAAGGACATGAAATTTGGGATAAGAAAATCAACCACATTTTGTTCTATAAGATCTTGATTATCTTTTCTGTTTGTGTATAAAGAATTCAGTGTAGATATGGGTACCCAATATTCCAGTATTTTCTCCTGGAGTCATCTGGAACTCATTAAATCTCTCCAGAGGCATCAATGTGGGGTGAACTTTAAATCAGAGGGTTAGCAATAGTGATGGTGTTTATATTTGTCCTCTACTTAACCCAGGGCTTATTATTTCAGCAAAATCAATTTGTGATCATTATTAGAAACATTGATAAATATTTTAGGGAAATTTCTGTACCACTTATTGTACATACTAAATTGCAAATTAATTGTGTTTATGGGAAGAAAGATTCATTGACATCTACTGTTTATTTCTTGCCTGTGGATACTCCTTGTAGCCTCCATCTAGGTCCTGTTTGATGATAATATCATTTTTTATGGGCACATTCACTTTGTGAAGTGAAAGAGGACTAAATGAGGGAAGAGAGCTGTAAAAAAGTTCTTTTGCAAGTAAGGGGATGTGAAAAAATGGTGCCTGAAACTGCTTACTGAGTCTTTTCTCCACGTGTCAGATTGCATGTATGTCCATAAGAAAAACAGTGAGTTTGAAATGGAACAAGTCACACATGAGTCTGTTTCTGTCTCTGCAAGACTTGGGAAGCCTACCATGTGCTCATTTAGAGTTTATCTAGACTCAGCAAAAATAAACAAAATCATAGCTTAAATGAAAGCCAGTTATTTCTTATGATACTCCTTTGAAGAAACAGTCATATATTCTAATTCTTTTTTTTTAATTATTTTTATTTATTTATACAAGCACTGGGTACAGTCAGAAGCGCGGGAGGGTGAGAAAATTCACCAGAGCCAGAGCGGGGAACAGAACAGGCAGAAGGACCGAAGTACACTGCTGAGGGGAGCAGCGGGCGGCAGGAGAGGTCTGCGTGCCATGTGGGACCCTCCTCCGGTGGCCGGGGAGCAGCCGGGGATCGAACTGGCGCTCCAGAGGCTGCGAGCAGCTTCGCAACCCAGCGCTCAACCACTGCGCCACCGGGGAGGCCCATCATATATTCTAATTCTAAAGACATGAATTAGTCTATACTTCCTTATTTCTTGTACAGGGTTGAATATAAAAATAATTTGACTGTAGACCATAGACCACCCTCAGGTAGTGGTTTAGCAAATCAAGTAATAACGATGATTTAATTCCTTCAGATATGGACACCAGTGATAGTACAACACTTCCACCTTCTGAAGATCAAAATACAGGTTGGGTGGAAGACTTGGAGAGGCCAGGACCCTTTTCAATCACAACTCGTAAGGACAATGACAATCAGCCCTTTATTGATCTGTATTCTGTATTCCTGCCTTAGTTCTTGCTCACATTGGCTCAGAAATAGAGCTTGGTGGTGGATGGATGCAATTGCTATGTGGCTTAGCTCAGCCCAGAGCATAAAAGCTGTTTCATTGTATATATTTTCTTGATGGGGTTCTTTAAACCTGATTTTGCCTTCAGTCTTGTTGCTTTCCAGATTCACTGACTTTATGTTAAGAAAATAACCAGCTAGGGTGTGGGACTCCATTTAAGTTGATTTTCCTTCACTAAGTGGTTAGTCAGTGAAACACAAGACCACAGTCAGGACAATGGTTTCTTTATGTTTTAACTGCCCATCTCCTTTGATTCCCAATTTTCCTGCGTTCAAGACAGATAGGATTGTTTTAATAGTTGTCAAAGGTATTTTTGGACCAGATAATCATAGATAGTAGAAAAATCACATAAACCTACAGAAGAGAGGAAGATACTGTTTTTGACAATTGACAAAGATGACAGGGCCCAGGAAACAAAGAGCAGCTTTTGCTAATATCTCATACTATCACTGAGGATCTGGTTGAAGCAATGCCAAAATTCTAGAAGCCTTAAATTCCATACCATATACAAGGTTATCCAGAGATCAGCCTAAAGTCATTCATAGTTTCTTTGACAGAATATGAAAGAAATCTAGAATTAAGAGGGCCTCATTGCTCTGCTCATGTGAGCCTTTTTAGGCCAACGGAAAAATAAGCAAGCATGTGCTTATCATCAACAATGTAAACAGCACAGTGTTAAGCCTGAAAGGAGATGCAAATAAGCATAAGAAGCCTTCTTGCCGAAGGAGGGTCTTGTATTTCCATGTTATGCCTCTGTTGACTGTTATTCTGATGTGGGTTTGGATCTTGGTGGATGTCTCTCTCCTGGATATAATGTTTACTTGGTGGTGGTCTTGGCTTAAGAGTGAGCTTAATGAAGTGCTTGCACCTGTAACTCAGAGGTCAGTGCCTTTCTTAGAAGAATACAAAAGAAATTAACTCAAAACAGTTAACATGATTTCAGATATGGGCAACAGTTCAAGCTCATATTGATAATGTCAGTGGGAGCACTGTGTTTGCCCAGGCAAGCGTTTCTTGGCATTTCAGTGCAGTGATGAGAATCCCATCCACAGATAAGAAAGAAAACTTGATAAAAGAGTAAAAGTCAACCTCCATTTAATCTTCCTTAGGCAGTACTTTAGTATTTCCTTTTATAATTCTGCTATGAGTTACTTGAGCAGGTGCTTCTAGATCAACTTCTTCCTTTTTTGTGATTACAATACTACCTGCACTCATGGGGTTTGTTTTCTCTACAGTCACACTTCTTGACCTGTATAATAAGGGGCTCTTGATAGTTGGTAGAAACACTGGAATTCAAGCACTCTTTTTTCCATATCTCTGTGTTGAGTGATTGGAAGCAATGCTAGTATTGGGCCAGGATGATCCAGAGTGGATAATTTCGGCCCAGGCTTCACCATGGCATTTTACCTTTGTTGGTTATACTAAAAAGCAAAGGATTTTAGGAAATAAATAAACACAAAATAGAAAATCTGTTGTGTATTTCTATCAATCAGAGGAAAATGGCATGCGTAAACCTTGGTATTCCAATGCCTCGATCAATTTGACATTAAAATAGCTGGACCCTTCCTGTTGGCAGATAATAAGATTTGTTTCATGACTTAAATTAATGCTGACTTCATCCCTCATTGAAACAGAACAGAGTCATATGCAGAGTTTCTCTACATTACAAGGAGACTTGGAAGAAGATAATGACCATCCAATGACTTCTACTCCAACATCTAGCAGTAAGGATTATAATCCCCAGTTGGTTTCAGCTATTCATAAACCAACAAATAATCGGTGTTTTTGCAGTGTCTTTGGTGGTGGTACATTAATTGACTGCTGTTCTGTTATTACTTTTGATCATAAGGTGTGGCTGGTGATGGTCCTCTGATTTTTCTGCTTTGAAGGCCTCTTTGAAATCATTGTACATTAAGTGCAAACTTCATTTCTGAAAGGTTGGTTTCCTTAAACTGTCAGTGACTTGATTAAAAAATAACAGGTCACCTATATATGATTTATAATTGATGTAAAGATTTGGACTATCAAGGTATCACTTTCTATTTCCCTTGCATTAATGATATTTTACCATTTATTCTCTGGACAATAAATCCATGGTGCTGGTGACTAAGCAATGTCCTTCTGGCAAAAAGAAAATAATCAAAGTCTCAGGTCTTTAAAAATTTGTGTTTGCTATTCCAGTTGCAGGCAGCATAATTCAATTAAGTGATTTATTTCCTCAACTGCATTAAAGGTGGATCTAATTGAGTAAGAGCTCAAATTATCTAGTACCTGAGTTGACTTCAAGGTCACAGTTATAGTGGCAATCAATCTTGCTTTAATAATCCAGACAGATGTTGAACAATGCATCACCTGGGTACTAGGATCGCCAAATTTTCTGTGGTTGAGTGATGTCCAGGTGTCAATTATAAAATTGACTCTGTTCAATAATGTAACAAACTTCACTCTTTGGCTCTGTGTTCATCCATAATACATGAAAAGCTTTTGTAGCAATTGCATGTTCTAAAGACAAGCACATGACTGCTGGTGGTCTTATGAATGTGGGTTTACCATGACTGCACTTCCACAGATAGAAATGATGGCACAGTTGAAGGAAATGGCGGAAGTCATCCTGAAGACTCAACTACTTCAGTGGAAGGTTCTACTTCTCATTCCTCAGACACAAAAGATATCAGGACCCACATCCCAGTGACTCCTCTTTATACTGGGGCCCCTGGAGTTACTGAAGTTACTGTTGTTGGAGATTCCAATTTTAATGTTGATCGTTCCTTACCAGGTAATTTGGACAATTGTTATCTGATTTGCTTTCTCCATTGAGAGAAAGAACAAATATTTTGATATTACAGAGGGAATTTTCTGCATAGGCTATGATTAGACTGACTTACCACATGGGAATGTCTTTCATCACTTGTGTTCATTCCAGGTTAAGTAAACTTGTATTTATTTCAGATAAAAAGTGTTTTCATGTCCCATTGTCATTTCATTTATTTTTGTGACTTGGTTGTTATGGTAGAATTTCTTTCTTTGTCTTTTCCTGATATTGTGATATATTAAGTTGAACCACATGAAATCATTATTATTGTAGGTCAAATAGTTAAATATTGTAATTTCATTTGATTCAACTAATATATGCTGCCTTTTCAGTAAGCTTTTATCTAACATGTGAATAATTTCCAGAGAATGAGATCTGTGCTCTGAAATTACTATCTTTTATTGGTGATGGATTGGTGAATTTTGCTTTTGGTGAAGGACTGTGGATACACCTCTTCTTTTTGTGATGTACATTTCAAACTATGTGTTCATCTGTTACTTAAGCATACGCACCATTTCTCGCGTTGTGATGGCAAACAGATGACTGAGCATGACTTACTCAATTAAGTTTGACGTGGACCTCGAACGAGAATGGGAGTACCTCTCAAATAAGCAGTCTTCTCTACTTCTGTTTTTCTTTGTTCTTCTTTTGCATTGAGAAACTAACTTTGAAGAAATGGGATCTGGAAAAATACCCACTCTGCCAAAAAAACTAAAATTTGATTTTCCCCTCCTAGTGTTTGCTACTCAGGTGCTCATTACCCAGCCACTGAGGCATATTAAAGATTAATGATTTCAAGTATATAAATATATATGTAGTAACAGAGAACCATCTATTCCCCCCCAAAAAAGGGGAGGAAATCTTCTGAGAAAGCAATATATAAAACAGAACACAGCTGTGTTGCTCTGGATGAGCAGAGTGGGAAAACCCTGAAGTCTTTCCTCTGAGATGCTCATTCCTAGTGCGTCAAGGAAAATCAATTTTAGACCATATGAAACTTGGCGTTATTGGCGAGGCAAATGTTCTTACACCATTTGGCTCTTCATTTAGTATGGTTCTGCCCTAAATTACTAAACATTCCAAGTAGCATTGTCTTTATTCTTCTGGAGAAAGAGTACCGCCTGGTTTCCTTTGGCAAAATAAGACCTATTGTGCAATTTAATGAATTTAAATGTAAATGACAATTTTAATTATTTCATTATTCTAGAAGGATTACATAGCCTGTCAGTAAATAAAATATTTTCTACAAAGTTCATATTCACTTACTCTGATTCCTTCTACATTCCATGGTGGTACAGATAGATTTCCCCCATAGTTCTCCATGGATTGAGTGATCAGTAAATCATCCCACTCTTATTCTTGGTTTTCTTCCAAAGTACTCTGATAAGACTCACTTCCTCCTATACATTTTCCCCAGTCCTTCTTATGCTTCACATAATAGTGGAAACATTTGGAATTGTGGTGCTGGTGGTGGTGATGGTGGCAGCGATGGTGGTGGTGGTGATGTGTTTTAGCTGAAAAGTGCTATTTTCAATTATTCTAACCATAAACCAAGGAGTAAAGCGATCTATCTCCTCTATGCAATAACAAGAGAGAATACAGGTCACCTACCTCCATCTTTTCCAATCAAGGAAGAACACACTGATCAGATTATTGTGTAATTTTTTATAGGTTCCTATATAATGGGTGACTGACCATTTTGTGAAACTGTCATCCTATGATTTTTTTTTCAAAGATTCCTATGTGGTTCTGGAAAATGTTGGGGAGGAGGGAGAAGAGTGGAGTTTCTATGTGCTTAATCCAAGACTTGACCTGTGGATCCAGATTTTAACAATTCAAGAGTATGTCTAAATCTAAAGCTTCCAGTGACAGACTTTTGAGAAGATGGGATTATATTAATTTTTGGTGTTGAAAATACTGATTCAATTTTTGAAAATACTATTATTTCAATTGTATTACAATAACCAAGTACACATTATTCACACATTAGTTGTCATCTCTGCATTTCTTTTTCACTTATTTTCACTCTTTATTTCTAAATAAGCAGTTGACTTTTCTCTTTGAATCTTTATATAATTCCATCCCAACCTTCTTTATGGCACATCAAAACATGTTTCTATTACTCTGCCTTGGAGAGATCTCTTTAAATATCCCATGCCTTAAGCCACAGCATACACCTATTCCCAATGATCACATGTGCCATTATCCAAAGCATATATTCCTTATTTCAAAGATAAAGTATCAAGTCCCAACCTCAGATTTGTAAAGACATTGCAACATTTTTGTTATAGTGTTACAGTTACTGGATTTCTACCAAAGCCACACTTCTTGCGGTCTGTGCTGTCCCAGTTTCCTAACTTGAATTAAAGCTCTAGCCCACTATCAATGGATTTATCAATGAACAGTAATTAATACTGTGGACCCATTCAAGGCTCCTTGACCATCATTTTTTGATTACCTTTAAAAGCCTGAATGAAAACACAACCAGGAGAAAACACTGGAATATGGAGTACTGAACCTGTCCTGATTTCTCTTTACAGAAGACCAGGACTCAGTCTTTGAACCCAGCGGGGATTCCCATACCACCCATGGATCAGAGTCAGCTGGTGAGTTAGAGTTGCCTTAGTCATTGACTGTTATCACCACCAAACCTGCTGTTTATTAATGAAGTGTGAATCAGAGTGTTTTGAAGTTTCAAACTTAGCATGCATCACAATCAATGAGAGGCCTTATAAATCACACTACTGGATCCCATCCTTCATGCTTCTGACTCAGTAGATCTGACTGGGGTGGGGCCTGTGATTTTGTATTTCTTATACATTCCCTGTGATGCTGTGTACTCTAAGAACTATTGCTTTGGAGAAAATTCTTCTCTCTGAAAAGATCAGGAAGAATTCGAGCAGGATCTCAATTTGACATTGCACTACACCAGAGTTACTAAGAACATGGATTTTAGAGTAAGAACAGTCTGGATTTAATCCCAGCTTTTGCACATACTAACAGGGGAAGTTGCTTAAACATCTGTGACTCAATTTTCTAAGCAATAAAATTGGGATAATGATCATCATCACAGGGCATTGTTTTAAAGACAAAGCATTTAGCATAACCCCAAGCACATGACATAATGATAGCATTTATTGAGAAAGTATTTTGTGCTGTTGGCTTTGTTCTAAACACTTTCAGGTATTAGGTAGGACCTTGTGAAACTGATGTTTTTATAGGTCCTCAAATATTATCAGTTTCATATGGTTTATCTGTCATTAGCTTTTTTTTTTTTTTTTTTTTTTTTTTTTGCACAGAAGAACTGGTATGTAGGCCAGAGGTACAAGGGGTAAAAGCATTCACCAGAGACAGAGTGGGGAGCAGAACAGACAGATTGACTGAAATACACTGCTGAGGGGAGCAGTGGGCGAGACAGGAGAGGTCTGCTGCGCCACGTGGGTTAGGTCCCTGGGGGGATCGAACTCAGGTTATAGCAGTGATAGTGCTGAGACTTAACCCCTAGGCCATCAGGGGGGGCCCTGTTATTTATTAATTTCTGATCATCCTACAAATCCTGTAATCTACCTAAGTGTTTTTATTATTCCCATATTACAGAGGAGGAAACCAGCACTCAGAGGTAGTATCTGGCTGAGCTGGCATGACTAGTGGGATGAGCACTGGAGCTGGGTCTCACATGGCCTCTCAGAAATGTAGTCCAGAGAAAGTTCTTCAGATTGACCATAACTTCTGCCATGCATTTTATTAAATGGATTCCTGTTTACTGTGACTCAGATCATACCTAGAACATGACTCCAAGCAGCAAAATTTTGATGCGGCAGGCTTACTTGTGACCACTAACACCGGGGTGACTGAAAGGTTCTGCCAATGCTATCTTACCGTGGTCTCTCCCAGCACCACCAGCACAGGGCCCCACGTAAACCAGGGCATCCATTTGAACTGGTGTTCTCTCCCATCAGACCTACATCAGGGCTAGCGTCGCTCTATGCTCACCCACATAGAGCAAATGTGAAAATGGCTATTTATACAGTGACTTAAGTGATACCCTTTTATGGAAGGGCATGCAGATGCAGAGACTCATTAGAAACGCCTCTGAAGCAAAGACCAAAGCCCCCAGGTAACCTGGGGACCTTAAGAGGGAGCTTTAGCCTTTCCTTATTAGTAAAACAGAGACCAGGACACCTACCTCTCAGCTACCTCTTAGAGTTCTTAGGAAGAAAAGGAGATATCAGGAATATGAAAGTATTTTGGAAATGAAAGGGAGTTGTTATTAAAAGGCATGCTTACTAAAACCAAGAAACCTTAGCTAAACCACTCCTGCTCCTCAGACCACGCAGCAGGCACATCATCTACTTACTGGTTAGAAATGCAGAATCCCCAGCCACCCCAAACCTACTGACCCAACATCTGCATTTTCACCAGATTTCCCCCACCCACTGGGTGGGTTTCATTAGAGTTCAAGAAGGACTATCCTAGGCAGTTTTCCCCACAGTGGCCGCCAGTTGAATTATCTCTGTGCATACATCTCTGGTTGGAGCTCATCTCTCAACTGGAGTGTCAAGTATCCCTCATTGCAGAACTTGCTCTGCTGGCCAGTCCAACCCCGGCTGGAGTTGCAGATCTCCAGGGTGCAAGGCAAGACCTGCTGTATCTTGTCCACCCTCTGTGGTATTTTTTACTTAAAGTGAGAATCAGGTGGGCGGGAGTGGTCTCTTTTGTTTGACTCTCGTGCAGGTGTCTATTGTTCAAACAGGAGGTTTCATCTTGCTGTGCACACACCCAGATCTTTCCTTGCTGGGAGTGCTTTTTATGAAAATCAAAATAAAGAGATTAAGATCCATTAATGGTCTCCCTTTCAAATATCAAAGGCAGCTGTGAGTCAGAGAAGACCAGTGAGAGTAACTGTACCTCTTAGCTGGTTTTTAAGGCCAAAGATCTCCTGTTTAAATGGCCAATATCACATAACTCATGGAGGTGAAAACCTGTTAGTGACCAAGGATTCTGGGAGCCAGAGAAAGTAGTTGGGATTCTTTGTGAGGTTTCTAAAGCAAAAGACCACTGTCAAAATGTGGTGGAGTAAGCTGAAACAGCCAAACGTCTGGTAAGAATTTACTTTGCTTCTTTTTGGGATCAACAAACATCAGATTACTTAAGTGGAACCCTTTTATCCAAAATAGCCATGGTAAGCAAGACTTCAGCATCCACCATGCACAGGCTGAAGGCTGACTCTTGGAGGAAAGCTTTTCATTTAAGGCTTGGCGGTCTTTATCCTCTGATTAGCCAGACAGACTTCTTTTCTTTTTCTTTTTTTCTTCCCTGGAGACTTTCAGGATTCTGCAGTGAGTTTCCATTTCATAGGAGAAAAAAATCTCATTTTAGTAGGAAATTTTCAAATATCATGTCTTTCATGTAACATGTTATAAAGGTCTCTGGCTTAAATCTATAAGTAGGTTCTCAGTGATACAGAGGTAGGAGCTGTCCCTGTCTTATGCCCTGTAAGCAACTGTATGTGTTCCAGACTTTAGTTGAGATATGTTGTTTTTCTCCTTAGGACACTCAAGTGGAAGTCGAGATGGTGGGCTAAACACGACCTCTGGTCCTATGAGGAGGCCTCAAATTCCAGGTGAGTTTCAAGCTGTGATGCAAAAAACAAACAAAAAACCAGGAGGCTAAAAGCAAGTCTCTCTGAAAGTTCGAGAAAGAAAGAATAGACTAATTCCCCTGAATGTCCAACTTTTGGACATGATTGCTGCTTTTTGTAAGCAAAGAATGAAGATAGCACTTGCCCTCTTCATAAGAAAATATGGAACATTCTTGTTTTCCTAGGTTTATTGATTGGTTAAGTTCATATTGAAACCTATCCCTGGCCTGTCCCCTAAAAGTGCCTTCTTAGTTACTACAGCTTCCTTCCCAAATGATCAATCACCCAGGAATTTCCACATCATACCCAGGTTCTTCCTCTCCCAAGCCCCTTTCTTTTGGGTGTGGGGGTATTGCATGCAATTTTCCTCTCACATCACAGTGAGAAGATGCCAGGATCATGTGTGTTGCGTGGAATAAAACATTCTTTTTCTCGAGCAACAGCCCTTACTGACCCAGAGAGAAGAAACTTCAGGGTGTGTTGCATAGACAGCAAGGGTGTGGGGACTCTTTGCTCTTCAGAGCATCAAGATTTAAGGAATTTGAGGCAAATTCTTTATTTGACTTGGGCTCAAAATTGAGCATGTGTAAGCAGGAGTGGGTGGGATGTTACAAAAATAAGAAGGGCTTTCCTAGGGTTCTAAATTATCCTTTTGATCCACCTCTCTTCAGAGCTCTCCAAACTGAATCCTCCTCAGGGGAAGGGAGCAATGTCTGTGAGTCCTGCCCCTGGTCTCTGCCTGGGTGTAAAGAGGGCATAGCTGCCAGGATGAGTGGGCTGCAATTGGCTGTAAGCAAGAGGCAGAATTCTTCCCAGCTCAGTGAGCACAATTGTGGCCATCTCAGAACCAGAGAGCAGGGGATATGACAGAAATGGCACCTCCTATGTGCCTCCCCACCTCCTGACTCTACCACCCTCCTCACGCTCACCTAACCAGGTAGAGATAAGGCAAAGGCAATGCAGAAACAGAAGTCAGAGGACAGTCAAGTCTCCCAAAGAATTGACCATGACTGACCTCCTCCAGCTAGTGAACCCCAGGAAACGCTGATCCTCCATTTCTGCATATTGTAGTGAAGGCGCTAAGATTTTTACCTTCTGTGCATGGAATATCAAAAAATTACTCTTGAAATTTGCCCAAGATTCAAAGCTAATGAGTACAGGTTCTTTAACTTTTTCTAGACTATATTAGATTTTAAAGGATTAAGTGCCTAAGAATTTTGTTTTTAAAAGTTTTTAAAAAGGAGAAAGAAAAGCATGACTTCCCATCTTGCTTGCTGCTCAAGTTCTAGTTCATGGCACGGCATACAGCCTACTGGGCAAAGGAATTTATTTTTTTTTTTTGTCAATTTATTTGTATCCTGTTAGAGCTTGATTTTAAAATATGTTATAACGTGATTAGTTCATAAGTTGTATGTAACTATCAGTGATACTTTATTTTTTATTTTTTTTTTAAAGATTTATTTATTTATTATTTATACAAGCACTGGGTACAGTCAGAAGCGCAGGAGGGTGAGGGAATTCACCAGAGCCAGAGCGGGGAGCAGAGCAGGCAGAAGGACCGAAGTACACTGCTGAGGGGAGCAGCGGGCAGCAGGAGAGGTCTACGCGCCATGCGGGACCCTCCTCTGGTGGCCGCGGAGCAGCCGGGGATCGAACCAGCGCTGCCGAGGCTGCGGGCAGCTTCGCAACCCAGCGCTCAACTGCTGCGCCACCGGGGAGGCCTTATCAGTGATACTTTAGATGGTACAGCTAAACAGGAGGAAATAGAAGTCATCCAGAAATACCAAGTTCACCATTTTCATGAGTCCTTCCTGTCATTTCTCAATGTAACTTATATACAAAAAAGTGAAATTATAGCCTAGGTTCTGCCAAACTGGTTGGCCGCAGCAGTCACTGCTATTAACTACTTTTTCCCTGCATTTTAGTACATAATACAATGATTACGCCCTAATTTCTTCAACCAATCCCTTACTCTTGGATAGTAGGTTGTTCCCAACTTTTACATTTGTAAGTAACATAGTAATGAATACCACTGTAGCTAATTCTGAGATTCCCTGTACATTCTTGCAGTATAACTGCTGGGTCAAAAGCATGTACAGGGCCTCCCCAGTGGCGCAGCGGTTGAGCGCTGGGTTGGGAAGCTGCCCGCAGCCTCTGTGGCGCTGGTTCATTCCCCGGCTGCTCCCTGGCCATCGGAGGAGGGTCCCCTATGGTGCGCAGACCTCTCCTGCTGCCTGCTGCTCCCCTCAGCCGTGTACTTCGGTCCTTCTGCCTGTTCTGCTCCCCGCTCTGGCTCTGGTGAATTCTCTCACTCTCCTGTGATTCTGACTGTACCCAGTGCTTGTATAAATAAATAAATCTTAAAAAAAAAAAAGCATGTACATTTTGAAGGTTTGTGACAAATTTTCAAATGACCCCACTCATGGGTGTGTACAAATGTATCCCTCCATGGAGTATCCTTTGCCCCACTCACTAGTATGCAGTCTCCAATTGTGTTGACTATTAAAATGTAAGATGGATGTTCTCACATAGGAAAGGAATGTTCTTTTCTAGGGAAGCATAAATTTCCTTCTATTTAATAATATTGCACCAAAGGCATCTACAAGTTCCAACAGATCATTCTATACTTTTTTGGATTTGTTTCTCCTGGGGAAGTGGAGTTTTGGAAATCCTGACTGATGATAAGAGATTAAAACAAGAGGCCTGTTGGACAAACACCTATAGCAAAATCGCTCATCCAGCATTAGCTGCCTGTTGGCTGGACATATCCGAAGTGCTGACTGGTTCTTGTTTGGATTAAGTCAATTAATAAGTGCATTTTTGTTTTTACTAAGCATATTTCCCAAGCTCACACATGTCTTTCGGTTCACTCACACCAGAATGGCTGATCATCTTGGCATCCCTTTTGGCCCTGGCTTTGATTCTTGCAGTTTGCATCGCTGTCAACAGTCGAAGAAGGTAAGGGGCTATTCCAAGCCTTTGATTGTGAAAGGTCATCACTTGCTCTTAGGTTCTATGTCCTTGTGTCCCCTGGAAACATCAGCCTCTGCACCCTGGTGCTTGTTACAAATGCAGACTCTTAATTCCTGCCCCAGATCTCCTTTATCAAAGCCTGGGTTTTGACAAGATTTCAGAGATCCATGTGCAAGATGCAATTTAAAAAACCCTGGGATATTCTTTAGAGAAAGAGACACACTGATGATTTGGGCCACTAAATTTAAATAGTTGAATCTTTTGTGGGTTTTAATTTGGTGGAAACGTAAATCCATAGACTCTGATCAAAACTATAAAATATCTCACCAGGAAGACATAAAGTCATATATTCACTATTGAATCATCAGACAAAATATATGTATTTATATATAAAGACCCAGGGATTGGTCATCCACTTTAGTTTGACTGAGGCCCCTGGAACATTCTAGAACCGTTCCCTATAGCAAGTTTGTGTTTTCATGTGCTCTTTGTTTTTTGTAATGACACTATTTTTTATTGTCTGGAAACTTCAGTTAAAAAAAGGAAAAGCCTCGGGACTCCCCTGGTGGCGCAGCGGTTAAGCGCTGGGTTGCGAGGCTGCCCGCAGCCTCTGTAGCCCCAGTTCGATCCCCGACCACCAGCGAGGGTCCCACAAAAAAAAAAAAAAAAAAACCCCAAAGCCTCCTGACGATGAGGTCTATGAAACGATGAAGAAATTTCCTTGGGAAATTCTAAATAAAGATAGTTAATTCCTAGACCTGGCAATTGGGCTGTTTTCAAATCTCAAAGGCCTCTCTGCCTCCCTACCTCAACCCAGGCCTATTATTTTGGAAGTTATTTAAATGGCATGTGTACCTAGTACAGCAGTGACCAGGCTCCAGAAATAGTGCTAATTAAAGTGAAATTAAGGAAACAATAATTGTAGCAACAGAGGAAATGGATGTTAATAGCGGCACCCCGAAAGTTGAGTCTATATTTCCTATCTAAGTCACTTAAAGTTTCCTTCTTCTTCTCCAAGTATATGAATAGGCATATTAAACCTTTTTTTAAAAGTCCCTTATGATTTCTTCTTCTGAGGTAAAAGAATTGTATTTCCAAGCAGAGCCACCTTTGATGATTCACTGGATCATCTAACAGGCTAGAAAATGCTCCTCAGTTTGGAGAAAACTGTAAAATCTTTCTTGTTGGTTTTTGGCAAGCAACAGACAGCTAATTCCCTCGCCTTGTGCAATCCGTGCAGTATCTCTAATTCTTTAATTATCTGAGGAAATTGAAAGTGTTGCTTTCCACTGGCACAAGTTAATAAAACTACTATATTAAGCCAGATAGCTATGTTGCTATCTATATCTTTGAGGGCATAATAATAAAAAAAAAGATTAGTCATGATAGTCAATTGTATAAGGTGTGAAAACTAGAAAAGAAAATCTGGAAGACCTCCTAGAAGCGCCTATGACTAAATGGGAAGTTGTTTTTTGTTTTTTTTTTGGCTGAATTTAATGTGACTTGAGGGAGCTCCTACAAAATCTTTATGCTTTTTCCCTCTGCCTCCTTTTTTTCTCTGGGATGATTTTGGCTCAATTAAAAATGAATTTCCTGTTGTTTGAAATTAGTCCCTTTGTTCCAGGCACTAGAATGCACTCCTTCTGCTCACATACACAGGCCATAAGCTTCGCACATGTCACCATAGAAACGTTGGCCAGGGATGCTGTTGACAGGCCCTCAGAGAAGCATCTCAGCTGTCTGTCTCTGAGGGCAGTGTGAATGTGGACAGAGCTGGTTAGCTCACTCATCACGCTGCATCATGCCAGCAGCAAGAGGGGCCTTGCTGCCCACCCCCTCATCCCACCAATTAGCAGTCACCCTAGCAACAGGAAAACTGGGGCCACTCAGGATCCAGCAAAGCAAGAAAGTGGCAGCTTGGACACCCTAAATTGCTGTGTCCTGATTTGAGAATCGAAAACAGATTTGTCATATAGCTCGAGGGTGGTTAACAGCATAGGCCCCTACCTGTGCCCTGTGTTTCTCAAGCCTCCAGCCCATTCCTAATCCTCTTAAGAAGCCGGGGCCTTTTTGCTTCGAATGTTATGTTCTAGAGAGATTCAGAAGTTTGTTTTCACCAGATAAAGTTAGTTTGAAAATACAAACCTACAATTATTCAGGAAACATTTTTTGAGTTGTTCTACTGGCCATCAGCAGTGGTGAGGAAGAAAGGAACATTGTAAATAGAAAGGGGGCTATCTTTTCCTGGAAGAATCCTGAGGTTCAGTGGCATAATTGACCTGCTGGATTTGAGACAGCTAAAAGTTATTGAGAACATACTCTGGGTCATACACTGTTATATGGATTCTGGTTAAGCAAATAAAGTGGCAACACATTAGTTGCTCAAATTGAGGTCCAAGAGCTGACCAGGGACTTCCATTATAAAGTGATCTGAGTGGCATCATCTTAAAGATGTTGCTTTAGGAGTCCTATTATTTCTTTAGCTTTTCCAAGATCTGTCCTTTACATCCACTTTTCCTTGCTATTCTTCGTGGAACCAGAGTCTTGATTTGCAGATTTCCACTGGAAATCGTACTTTATTCACTTTTCCTAAGAGCAAACAATAATTTTAAGATTCACAGCTGGGTTGGTAGATGTTGGATGAGGTCCAAGAGAAGAAGTTTGGTACTTATCCCTTAAATAATCTGCTGACTTATGTGAAGAAGACAGAAAGGCCTGAGAACATTGCCAGAAAGGTTTTAGTAAACAGGAATGATTGAAGAATGTTTCTATGATGCTTATGCAGAAAAGGTTTTTACAAGCTTTCACTGGAAGCCCCAGTGTGCAGTCATCATCCTCTGCTTGATGTGTCCTTTCTATGAAGCTCCAGGATTTAGACATGGCTTCCTTCCCTGATGCTGCAGATTAGCCCACTGTAATTTGTATTTATTTCATATAGACATCATTCTGCCTTCTAGAACAGAGATTTGCAGTGGAAATATTTCCACCTGCTCTGTTAATATATAACCACTAACTCTTTGTGGCATCTGAGCACCCAAAATGTGGCTAGTTTGATTTAAGAAGTGAATTTTTTAATTTATTTCATTTTGCTAGGTTAAATTTAAATAACTGCCTGCTATTATCCTATTGGATGGTACAGAGACATCCAATAGAAGAGACGTAAGTTACAAAATTACCCCACAAAAGTCTTTCAAGATAAATTCCTCTATGCCTTCAATATATGTTAGTTATCTGGTTTCTAAACCTCACCCAGCCTGCCCACCCTTTCCTGGGAAGGTCACTGTGTGCTCAGTCAAAGCCTGAGATTTAAGGGGAGAGAAGGTGAAGCAAGATACAGTGTTCTGATCTTCAGACTCAGAAAATCTAAGTTGTAGATACTATATAGGTCCTGCAGTAACTAGTGCTATAGCTCCAGGCAGTACCCTTGACTGACTGGGCTTGGTATTCGGGCTATACATAAAAAAATCAGGCTGAATGACCTCTGAAGCCCCTTCAGCACTAATGTTCCTTTTAAAATTCCTGTAATTATAAATAATGAAAAAGTTAGAACGTATCTTTTAAAAGTACTTACTAAGTTCCTGGAGCACCAAATGCTGAACTGAGTTATTCATGACTGTCATTCTCCCTTCCTGGAAGAACTCAGATAATCTAGACACATAACTCCAGAGGGAGATAGAGCCAGAACAGAACCTGAGCACCATATTCCTGTTCAAATGTTACCCGCTTTCCAAATCATCTTCCTTTAGATGATAACATTAGTCCCCACCCCCAACCCTAGGTGCAAATATTTTCAAATGCTTATAAATCGCTTTCCTGCAGTAGTTCATTCAACTTCTCAAGTACCCATTAGGTGGCCAAAGGGAATTACTTTAATGTGACACCTTTGTTTCAAAGAACATCTGAGACACCATCTAAGAATTTGAAATAATACAAAAAACATCCCATCCCACCTTCAGCTTCTTAAGTTCTCTTCATAGTAAATATAACAAGGTAGGGGGAGGCAACCAGAAGAAACAAACAAAACCCATTTCACATGGTTCATGTTATATTAGTTACAGCTGGCATTTCTTGACCATTTCCTATGTTCCAGATTCTGGGCTAAGGGCTTATCCAAGTCCTTGGTTTCCTCATCATAGTTGTAAGAGCAACAAATAATAATTACAGACTCATGTATCCAGTGCCAGGCTCTGTTTTATTTTCAAGGGCTTTCCACATCCTGTGAAGCTGGCACATGTGTAGCCTGCTGTTACAGATGAAAACTAAGGCTCAGAGATGTTACAGGAGTTATCCCAGGTGACACAGCACTAAGCACTCAAAACCAAACCATTTGAGCTCCTGCTCACATCTATGTGGACTGCATCCATATCTGCAGCCCTGTGATCTGCTGCACAATTCAAGCATCCTGCCCTCCAAACCTCATCAAGCCCCATGCAAGAGGAGACAGGATCTACCTCCTGTTGGGGAGGTATAATTTTTATTTCCCCAAACAAGAGATTAAAGTTTATGGTCTTGGCAGTCATAAAGGAAATAGCCCATGATCATGAATAGAGGCTTTGTCTCTATACCTCTAAATATCCAGGGCAAAGTGAACACTTCCCCACTTCAAGATGTTTCCAAATCTCCAGATGGTTAGCAGCATTAATAGGTTGGGCAGATCCCAGGCTTCTGGTCATAAAGGTCTAGATTTGAATATTGACTGAGTGTGTCTTGACTCTGTCCATTTTCAAGAAAGTTATTGAATCTTTCTGGATCTCAATTTCTCTGCTGAATAAGGGGAATAACAGCTGCTGTAAAGTGCTATTGTAAGGATTGCTTGAAATTAGCATGTGATGTGCTTAGCATTCTGGAGGTATTCACTAAATTTCTTCCCATGTCTCCTCTGTCCCACCCTACTCATGGTTGTGCGACTTATTACCTTTGCTTATGTCAAGTGTAATCTGACTTCTAGATGTGTAGCAGTAATTATGTTACAGGAAGGAAGAAGATTGTGTCAGGTTGAGTGGAGTGAGACGATGTTATCAAACACTGTGACGCAGCGTCTAGATGAAGGTCATGCTCTTCCATGGAAGAGATGGAAGATCTTCCGCATTTGAACCTTAAATTATGTTACTAGGAAACCTTAAAATAACAGTGTAAGATTTGGATATGTCTTAGTTAAACTTCCTCTATCCAGGGTTATATGGAAAATAACCCATATTAGGGAAAACCAATATGGCTTGTACTTCTAGAAAAATGTTTCATTCTTCCCAGCACATGCAGTCATAATCCCAACATATATGATCATAATCTCACCAGGACAAAAAACTGTTGACTGGGAGAGGAAGTAATGGGACTTTCTTAAATACTTGCATCAGAAGGATTTACAATCATCATGGTGATGTTTTATCCAAGTCTTCAGAAACTTCTCAAGTGCTTAAAAACTGTTTCCATTGTATAGTAAGGTAGGATTAGACTTGGGAGTCAGACACACCCGGGAATTAAATCCTGATCATTTTACTGATTTGCTGAGAACCAGGGTTTCTTCACTGGTAACAAGGGACGATACTGACACTGCCTTCAGTTGAGAACACTGATTCTCACACTTGAGTGTGCCTCAGATGACCCTTTAGGGTTTGTTCTGCTACAGATCTTGGCCTCCCCTTCTAGAGTTCTCTTATTCGGTACTTCTGCATTGGGGTTGGGAATTTGTATTCTAACAAGTTTACCAGTGATGCTTTTGCTGTTGATAAGTACTGACTGTTAAGGGTCAGTATTATGAAACCTATCAAGGCCATCATAAGCCCTACTGATGATGATAGAGATGGTGGTGGTGGTAGTGATGATGATGATGGCAACAACGATGACCAATGATGGTTCTTTGTGCCCCTTTCTCAATTTTAGGTGTGGGCAGAAGAAAAAGCTGGTGATCAACAATGGCAATGGAGCTGTGGAAGCTAGAAAGCCAAGTGGACTCAATGGAGAGGCCAGCAAGTCTCAGGAGATGGTGCACTTGGTGAACAAGGAGCCGACAGACACCCCAGACCAGATTATGACAGCTGACGAGACACGGAACCTGCAGAATGTGGACATGAAGATTGGGGTGTAACACCTTCTCTATGACCTTGGAAATAATCAACAGTCAGAGACAACCATTACAGGGAGTTGGGACCCTTCACAGATGCAATGTGCTACTGATTGTTCTAGGGAATCTTTTTTTAGCATAACATTTTCTACTCCTTTTTGTTTTTTAAAGTCAAGTTGAATTGTAAAAACAGCATTGCTTTCTGAAATGAGGGTCCAATTAACAATTGGCAAGAATTTAATGGCTCCATTTCCCACCTAGAAGCCTCTCACCTCCTGGGTGTGCTGTGGGTGGCCTCTAGCAAAAGTGGAGGATATGTTCCCATTCCCGACCACCAACCTTCCCTCCATCCACCTCCCAGGTAATAGCTACATGGTAAGGTCATTCCCCAGGGCCACAAATGGTCTCTGGAGAAAATTTGAATAGGTCCATATTGCCCCTCCAGTTGCCCAGTCCCTGGGCATTGCTTTCCAGGGGCACAGGAATCGAGTGTACAGGCTACACATCCCCTTCTCCAGGCCCCCTGGAAATTTTTCAGATGCTTCTGGGAGATACCCAAAGGGTAAAGCTATTTATCTGTAGTAAGCTATTTATCTGTATTTTGAAATACTGAACCCTGGAGGTCCTTTGATATGTATGGCTTTTTTTTTTTTTTTTTTACTTTATCAGAGGCATAAAGGGTATCAACCACCAATTCACAATAAACATCTGTACTTCTTCCATCTTAATCCTTTGTGCTGTGATCTTTCATTTTCTTACCAACAAGAACTGGGTTCCAACAGCTCATCAGGTAATTCTGTGAATGGTCCCCCTTAAAAGTCTTCTCAGAGCCCCCACTCAAGCAACTCTCAAAGAAGATGGAGGAAGATACCATTATTTTATTTTGAGACTCTGAAGGCTTCCTGTCACATCCTAGACGTAGAATTGTAAGAGGAAGTGCTTTTATGTTTAAGTGGCCACCTGTTCTTTCTCCTGAAGCACTGAAAAAGTTACATTATGTTTGCCTAGTCTCCAGTTTGTGGGTTCTTACTGCATAGATCCTGATCCAATAATGATATCTAAAAACAAAATGAAAGTACCTTTTGGCAACTTGTAATAAAAGGAAAAGTCCGTGGAAATGAGAGTATAGCCAGTAGCCAACTTATTGGCACATTTTCACAAGAAGGGAGAGAACAGGGGACATCCTGTTTGAGTATTTTTATGGCAGTATTTATACATTAACAAGTCAACTGTCCCTCATACAGTTGTTATGCGGGGTAAGTTTAATGCCTGTGGAACCTCTCTAAAGGTTATATGATTTCCCACCACTGGGATCTTATCACCAGATAAGCAGGTTTATGGTCAAATAAGAGAATAATGGCTTTATTCCCCATTGGCAAGTCCTTTGCGGTCTTTCTTTGTAAGTTCAGAAGGTCCCATTGGAACATGCAAAGGTTACTTGTAATAGAAGGGATGGAATCTATAAATTAAGGCCTCCTGTAAAAGTGGGAACTCAACTTTAGTTCCCACAAAAGGTCATCTGTTGCTTAAACTGATATGCCTAACTGGCAGCATTTCTCAGAGAGGAAAAAAAAAGCAGAAAGAAAAAGTTCCCACACAAATCAGGGCTGAACTTATACAAAGAGGTGATTCAGAAGGATGTATTTAAGGGAGAGAAAGTGCCCACTTTCCACACTAAATCCCCATCTTTGCTCTCCCCTATCCACCCTTATGCCTTCTTCCCCATCATGACCTTTGAAAACTTCCTTTCTTGTCTTCTGTGAAAATCACTGGCTAGTTCCATATCCAGCTGTCTGGTTTTATTTTTATTATGAAGTTGAGAGAAAATAAAATGGACATCAGGTCACTCACTCAATTTTACATGCACTAATATCAGTGTGTCTCTGCTGAGCAAGGGCTTTCCTGGGTCAGTGGCAAACCCTGACAGCTCACAAATGCAGCAAGTCATTTGGGATCAGGTTGATGGGCAACACCCATCTTTATGTGTCCCCAGACTCTTTGGGGTCACGGATACAAATTTCACAACAAGGAACAATTTTCTACCCCTGCTAGGCACTCCCAACAAATAGGGTGAGATAAGAAATTGTTTTCAATTTTATTTTGGATTAAATATGCTCCCACCGGGTCTCCCTGGTGGCACAAGGGGTTAAGCACAGCACTGCAAAGCTGTCCGCAGTTCTGTAGCACAAGTTCGATCCCTGGCCAGGGAGGTGACCCACATGGCGCAGCAGACCTCCCCTGTCTTGCCCACTGCTCAGTAGTGTATATCAGTCAGTCTGCCTATTCTGCGCCCTGCTCTGTCACTGGTGAATCCTCTCACCTCCCACTCCTCTAGCCTGTATCCCAGTTCTTGTATGCATAAATAAACAAATCTTTTAAAATATATGCTCCTACATTCTATTATCATTTCAGACCTCCTCTTGATACACCTCTGTGTTCTCACGATAGGGGTGGAGAGGTCTAGTGTTTATATCCCTTCCTTTCCTACCCTGCACCTATTTATTGCCCTAGAAGTTCACCTCTGGTAGCGTAATCTGGCTAAGTCATGATGCCAAATCTTGTTGACAAAAATAATGGAGCAAATTTTAATCATTTTGCAAAACAACCCAAGAGTTTCAGGTGTAATTTTTTTCTATATTTGTAAATCTTTTGTGTCTCCTGAGGGCTTCATTTAACTTAGTACTGGGTGAAAATAAAATGGGACAAAAGTCACCTTCATAGCAATGTATTTCAGATTCTAGTCGAACAGAGTGGTTTCTTCCAGCAGAATCTCTCATCTGAGAATCTCAAATGAGACCATGATACAAAATATTAATTTCATAGCCACATTTATTGAATGCTGGTACAACAGAGGAGTAGGAGAAAGGAAACCTCTGATTTCCCTAGAAAAAAGTACTTAAGAATTATAAAAACATGATCCATTCAACTTTAGGTCATAGGTATACCTTTTTGTGACTTATTCATATTGAGTTTTCAAAGAATTGTTCACCATTCATGCCTGTATATGAACCATTATGTGTTGATTTTTTTCACAGCACAACCTGTGATTTTTGTACCTTTATTGATGAACCAATAATAAGGAGAAAAGCATAATATGCACATTGCTCTCTTGAAAGCACTTTTTGGATCATACTATAAGGCTAATAAGGGAAATGATCTCAGGTGCCTCTGATTTAAGGAGGAAGGCAGATTGGGAGAAGCCAAGCTGTGATTTTTGGCCATCTGGTAACTTCAAAGTCTCAGGTTAAAGGTTTCTGGAGTGGCTGAAGCGTCACACTCATTTTATTTTTCCTTAAAAAAATTACATGGGTTTCTGTCCTTTGAGAATCTTGTTTTAGAGAGCTTGATTTTTCCATAGGAAATGTGTGGTTCACATGAGTCAAACTAATGAGGTGAAGTATGAGTTTGTTAAAAGCTGAGAGATGAACATACTTACCTCCACACCCTCATGAGAGCCTCTAAAAAGACAAAAGAGAGCTTTCAAGAAGACATAAGACAATGGAGTCAAGATGTAACAGGGTGGTCCCCAGAAAAGGGGAGGTCCCAGGTTCCCTGCTCCATCCAAGGGAAGGTGGATCTAAGGAGAGGAGAAGAAGCTGGAGAGGATATTGGAGAAGGAAGGAAGCAGGATGGAGAGCCAGAAGGAGACCTGGAGGAGGCACATGGAGCAGAGAGACATGTGAAGAAACTGTGCTTGCTTCTTGGTCCTGGACTGGTTGAAACAGATGTGGTGAGAGACCCATGGGGAGTTTAACAATGGTGGTTTTTGTCTTGATTTTGGTTTTGCTCTTTTCCTCCCAAATTTGTCTGACTGTTTCTCACCCTTTTCTATGGGGACTTGCCAGAAGGTGCTTTAGACTTATAGCAGGCTTTCAGGCCTTGCTTTGTGCTAATCCCATTTGGGTGGACTTTTACACACGAGGGGATGGGTAACTTTGGGTGCTTGATTTAGAAACTATATTCTTTGTCTTTTCTGTATTGCTCATTAATTGTAATAAAGCCCCTTTCCATTAAAGGTCTTATATGTTTTGTGTTGATGCGGCAAATGGCAGAACCTATTTAGAGCAGGCAGGTTTGGGAGTTTTGGGGCACCCCACTCCCTGCCCTGTAACAAAGAGAATGGAAAAAAGAGAAGCAAGTGACAAAAATGTGAAGCTGGCAAGTGGCAGTTAACTGGTAACTGACTGAGCAAAACTGACTCCTAAGCCAGTGGTGGGGAAAGTTGAGGAGCAACTAGATGCATACAGCAGGAGCCCCAGAAAGCTCAGGAGTTGGCTGCATTAGCTAGTTGTGGATGCGGTAGAGAAGGCAAGGCTAAAATTAGGAGGCTAGGTTTAAAGTCTATTTAAGCAATAGGACTCCAGGTCTTCTTCCCTACTCTAAGGGAAGGAGCTGTGTGACTGTTCTTATCCAATCCCCCCAAAAATCCAGAAGCTTATTCCCTGGACAGAACAAAATAGACCATCTTAACCAAGGGACAAGAGACCCCCAATGTTGACATTGGAAACACCGTGTCAAGAAGTGCATGCATGAGACCAGATATGAGGAATGTAGAGACTGCTTAGTCTTCTCTCCCAACTTGGTGTCCAGAATACCAACAGCCATACATATGCCCTCCAGAAAAAAGTTCAGTCTTTCCAAGGAATCAGAAAACCTGAGAGAAAACCCTAAAGATACTAATGTAATAGCTTCCAAGGAAATGGCCCAGAAAAACAATATACAGCACAGATCACAACTCCTCCTGCCCCACCAGGCACTGAATACTCTTAGCAAGCTTTCTCTGACTCACCTTACACATGAGAATTGGAGATAATTCAAGAGAAGAAAACTTTTTTTTTTAATAGAGGCATGTTTTATTTATTTGTTTGTTTGTTTGTTTTGTTTATGCATGCACTGGGTACAGTCAGAAGCACGGGAGGGTGAGAGAATTCACCAGAGCCAGAGTGGGGAGCAGAGCAGGCAGAAGGACCAAAGTACACTGCTGAGGGGAGCAGCCGGCGGCAGGAGAGGTCTGCGCGCCATGTGGGACCCTCCTCCGGTGGCCAGGGAGCAGCTGGGGATCGAACTGGCACCGCAGAGGCTGCGGGCAGCTTTGCAACCCAGCGCTCAACCGCTGCGCCACCAGGGAGGCCCAAGAGAAGAAAACTTTTAAAAGAGAAAAAAAATCATTAACAATCACAGTAAGACAAAAGGAGATAGTGTATCTTAAAATAAAAATACCATGCCAGTGTTAAAATGAACATTCCAGAGAAACCTCAGAAAAGGGCTCTCAAAATTCAAACACCAAAGGACGAACTAAAAATTAAACACAAGAGAAGGTTTGGGAAATAAAGTGGAAGAAATATTTTAGAAAATGAAACAAAAGCAAACCATGGAAATTGGGAAGAAAAGATTAAAAAAAGAAGAGAATCCAGTCTAGGAAATCTAGCAAGCAAGCAGGAGGAGTTATAAACAAAGAAAAAAGAAAAAAATGAAGAGGAAGAAATCATGGAAGAAATAAATCAAGAAAAGGTCCCAGAATTAAAGGTGATTATCTAGACTAGAGGAACCAAGGGAGCACTTTGCACATGAAAAGTGCTTAAAAATCGGGCCTCCCCTGGTAGCGCAGCTGGTTGAGCGCTGTGCTGTGAAGCTGCCCGCAGCTTCTGCAGCACCCGTTTGATCCCAGCTTGCCTCCCACATGGTGCGGCAGACCTCTCCTATCTCCCCTGCTGCTCCCCTCAGCAGTGTACTTCGTCAGTCTGCCTGTTCTGTTCCCCGCTCTGTCTCTGGCGAATCCTCTCACCCTCCCGCACATCTGGCCTGTACCCCTGTTCTTGTATAAATAAATAAATCTTTAAAAAAAAGTGTTTAAAAATCCATATCTT